CAGGAACTTGGATGCCCAATTTTCCCCTAATTCTCGAGCATCCCCGGTGGCATGGAGCATCCGCTGGGCCATGAGACGGAACTTAGAGACCGCCGGAGAATACCCTAGCCGTGCTTGCCCCAGGGCCCAGCTTGCCAGTTTATGTTCGAGATACGGTGAGAGAGCCTGTTGGAGAGCGCTGGTCTCATTCCGCGTTGGGGTGCCAGAGATTCGTCGGTTGACGTACGAGCGACTGATTTGCCATTCGAGGGCTGACGAGCGGACTGGAGCTCCGCGTTGGATGGCCAAAATGGCGGCTTCAGCTTTTATTTGATGGTCGCAAAATGACATCATGAGATTCAGCAGTGGATAAGGATTCAAATAGTGTGCTTTGTAAGAAAAAAGATGCAAAAGTGATGGTGTAGATGGTGGATCACCATAATCCTGGTGGTTGGTGAATTACGCGTTTATGGGTCAGAACGCGCTGGTCCGCGGGGGGGTGGTCCGCAGTGGGGTGGGAGATGTTAATGCCCTGAAGGCATACTACCAGAAATTCCTCTCTGAGCTGAATTCCTTGACGGATGCCTCGCCTGTTCACAAGATCAATTTCATCCGGTGCTATAGCAAGGCCAGAACTGCTGCCTTCACGAAGCAAAACATCCTCTCCGGCTTCAAGGTCACTGGATGTTATCCTATCAGCCGCAAGAAGTGCTTAAAGCACCCAGAGATACAAGAAGAGAAGAGAAAGACCCCCGAGCCTGATACCCCTGAAAGCTCTGAACCAGGGGACCAACGGACGCCTACTACGAGCCGCCAGATAATGAATTTCAGGAAAAATAAGTCCCCAGGGACCAGAGTGAAGTACGGGAAGATAGCGAACGCGTTCAAGGCTAAGGAGACCGAAGTTGTGATCAAGGATAGGAAGATCAAGGCTCTGGAGGCTGAATTGGAGCGGCTACGGCCAAAAAAGCGGAAGAAGATCCCCAATCGATTGATTCCTCCCCTGTTAACAAGATCAACTTTATCCGCTGTTATAGCAAGGCAAGGGACATAGCGTTTACGCCAAAAAACATCCGCTCGGGCTTCCAAGTAATGGGGTGCTACCCAATTAGCCGCAAAAAGTGTCTAGACCATCCAGAAATCCAAGAAGACAAGCGGAAGACCCCCAAGCTGGAAGAACAGGAAGACTCGGAGCCGGAGGACCAACAGACCCCTACCACGAGCCGGCAAATCCGGGATTTCGGGAAGAACCGATCCCCAGCCACTCGGCTGAAGTTCCGGAAGATCTCCCATGCCTTTGAGAACCAGGAGACGGAGCTGGCCATAAAAGACCAGAAGATCAGGGCCCTGGAGGCTGAACTGGAGCGGCTACGGCCCAAGAAGAGGAAGAAGATACTAAATCCCAACAAAAAGTTCATGACAATGGTAGAAATACTAGCCCAGGGTGGTGATCTGTTAATTCCGGTTACTGTAGAGTCTTTTTCTTCTTCTTCAGAGTCGGAGGTTGTTAAAGACGAGGGTGAAGAGGACGAGGAGGTTGCGGACGTTGAGGAGGCTGTAGAAGCCCTTGTTGTAGAAGCCCAGATGACTAGATCCGGACTGTTAATCGAGGCGCCGGCTAAATACGTCGATTGAGCAGCCAAGACACCACAGAATGATAATTTTGCTGAGTTTTTTGATCCTATACAGCCTCAAATGCGTGTAAGTGAGTAGGGGGGTCTTTTGGTGGTGGTGGCGGGGTTTGGCTGTGCCGGTAGGGGGGTGTGCCGGTTCGGGGGGTCGGATGGTATTATGCTAAAGGGAGGCTCGGGAGAGATAACGGGTGAACAGTGTCTACATGTCGAGATCTTATGTCTCGGACAGCATTCAAGTTCTGAACCTTTAGGTCCGGAGCCTTGGACTACCGGTCGTCTTCAGATACGGCTTGGCCTTTGAGATTCGGACTTTACCGCGGACCACAGAATGCTATGGCTGTTGGATCCACGCGATTCCAGCCTGCAAACTGTCTATACCAAGACCCACATGTATGATTAGATAAGTGATTAGATACCGGATTGCGAGGTCACTTAGCCAGACCGTTAGGTCTAGCTAGACCTCCCAATCCAACCATCAGCAACATCATGACCTTGACCCCATACTCGAGTATTATGATTGATCGTTCAAGCCTGTTCCAACACTAATCATACATGTGGGTCTTGGTATAGATGGTTTGCAGGCTGGAATCGCATGGATCCAACACAGGATACTCTCTCTTTTATGATTGCGATTCCATCAAACCATCCATCCAGGTGATCTTAACGTTGAACCCAGCCTTCAACTCGAACCGTTGTCTTATTATCAGAAACAAGACCATGAAGGGTTTTGTTTGGAGATGACTTGGTCATCGAGTCAGCAGGGTTGTCTTCACCATGGATCCATCGGATTTCTGTGATCTCATGATTCTCCTATGACTGCCGGAGCGCCATGACGTCGATCATCAGACGCTTCTCATTGGTAGTGCCGAGCTTGACAAGGCACTGGTATAGCGAGTATGAGTCTGTGCAGAGGATCAGGGGGATCGTAGGTACTTCAAGGCGTTGGCAGATAGTTGCCAGTGTACGGTGGATCACGTATCCGTAATCATAGCCAGCAACCATGCCATAGACTTCAGAAGCTAGAACGCTCTGTGTGACTCTCTTGCATTTAGTAGAGGACCAATGAACAATGTTTCCGGTCAGATCAAATGTAAATGTCTCGCCATTGCCAGATGATTCACTCCCGAGGATAATGACAAATCCGATCTGTGATGATAGGTCCTTATTGTTGGCGAATGATCCGTCAACAAACACAAAAAGTTTAGCAGTAGACAGATCAATCGTCACGAATCGAAGTCCACGTGATTTATTGTCCAGTTGCCACTGAATGCGTTTGTTTAACATCTCGATATCTTTGTCGGAGGGTTCTTGGGCTTGGGCTGTGACAGAATAGTCGAATGCGGCTTCTGGTTGACAGATGGAGGCAATGTAGGCGCCTCTCCCTCGTTGCTCAACGAATCTCTGCTTGTAGTCCTCATCACTCATGTCAATCAGGACGAGCTTGTCAGCTTGTCCCTTCTGAGTCGCTGTCATGGTCTCAGTCTGAAATTCTAGGCGGCATCCGTTGAAGTCGCCAGAGGAACCAGTATTAAACTGGGTCCGTGGCTTTGTCTTATAGCCTGCTTTCTTCGTCTCGTTTTCTTCCTTCTCCAGGAAGCCGGTAGTGCCAATGACAAAGGTGTCGTCAGTTTGAAGGGCTGCGATAGCAAAGTTGTTGCCTTTCTTCGTAATGAATAAACAAGGGTCGTAGGCGGATGTCTCCATCTCTAGTCTTTCCTTGTGGTGGGCGGAGTATGTGTCATACCAATGATTCCCAGCTTCTGCGATTCTGTACAGGGGTTTATCAACGCGAAGAATCGTACCCTCTGGATATTTCTTCTTTAGTTTAATGGGCAGCTTGCATAGGACAAGACGATTCATCGGGTGTCGTGACTGCGTATAGGTCATAGTGATGTCTCGAGAGGCAGCAAGGCATCCTCGCTGTCGCAGAGACGGTGTCAATCCCATGGCCAGTCGCTGGCTGCATCGCATGATCGTCGGAGCTTGGGTCATGATATCGTGCTTCTCATAATCGTTGTATCCTTGGACGACGAGTCTGCTCTTCTCGTAAGGGCGGTCATTGATGCCTTTGACCGTGCGGACGAGGCGGAAGTTAAAAAGTCGGGTGTCGCCGTGAACCTTGCTGTCGAACAGAACGGGGACAAGCACTTGATCGGCAAATAGGGACTCAATCTCAAGGATATCGGATTGCTCGAAGGGTGCTCCGGGGGCTGTGATCCTGCCTTCAGTGCGCAAGTTCAGGGCGAGGACGTGATCAGCACGCTCCTTGTGCGAGAGGAAAATGCCATATTCATCTTGCTGGACGAAGGAGCCAGCGAAGTTCTCCTCTTCGCTTGTAGTCGTAGTGGCCATGTGTACCACGTATACTTTTCTGGGTCGGCCTCGCGGTCGCTTCGTACTTTGGACGGGTGTAGGGAGCTTCGGAGGGCGGCCGCGACGACGGGGGAGTGTTGGTTCTGGATATTCAAACGGAACAGGGGTATCGTGGTTGTCGAGCTTGTTAGTATCGAGAATCGCGTCAGGGTGACGGTTATACGGCTTAACGTGCGTGCGGTTGAATAGGGTTGGTCCGTTGACCATTTCAACGGTTACTTCTCGGTCTGTTACCGATAGAACCTTATACGGGCCTTGATATTTGTCTTTTTCGCGATAGACAAGGACTTCACTGCCGATAGGAAGGGAGAGAGGCAGTGTTGGGGTTGTATCAGGGCCGTTCCTTGTGTTCAGAGCACTTTGAACGTTGCGCTTGGCTCGGAGCTTGCGTAATTCGGTCATTGCTTTGGCCTGGGCCTGGGCACGTTGAAGCTGCGATAGTGTCGGGGGCGAATCCATCGTAACACGTGGATAAGCTCCAAAAACCAAGAGTGTTGGTACAAGACCATCAGGACCGGCAGTATCGTTCACGGCTTTTACTGCCATCTGTAGGGCAGCTTCTCGAGAGATTTCGGATGATTCGGCTCGGATGATCTCGTAAGAGCGTCGAATGGGGGTATGATACCGTTCAATCTTGCCAATTGACCAATGAGCTTCGACGGGAATCTGATGACTGGTGATTCCAAGCAATCGGGCTTCCGCTCGGAATTGGGCTGTACTTTCCCTTCTCAAATACCTGGATGAGGCGGAAACCCATCGCGATCGCCTCCTCCTCCAATCGAAAGTACCGAAGTGCGACGATGGCTTCGTACACCTCGATGGCTTCGTACAGGCCGGGGGCGGGGACCGCGAATCGCGTCCGATGGCCCGTGGGAGTCTGGAGATACTGTACTGCTTCGCAGCAATCTCTACCGACGTTAAAGACCATCAATCAATCAATCAACCAACATCAGAACGATTGCTTATTGGGTGTGTATTTCAGGCGCAACGATGAACCGAGCCCATCTTGCTATGCTATCCTGTTCCTTCCAATACCCCCTGAATGAAGTCGTTTGTAAGCTTCACCAGCTCTACACCCCCTTGCCCGGTAGCAACATTGAGGTGACCCTTTCCGGACGCAAAATGCAACTTCGAACCGGGTGCCTCAATTCTCTTGAAGGCAGCCATTTGTTCTTCAGGGTCCGACATAAGATCCAGTTCCGGCACAACCATGAGTACGGGTGCACTAATCATATCTACGTAGTCTGCTGGCCTGAAGAAGGCCAACTTGTAATATGTCTGCAACGCTATTCGGTCTCGAAACCCCACCGCCCCCCTTTCTTTCGCTAGACGCATGAACGCATAAGACTCCCGCCCACCTGCGCCTCCAGCTCCCGCCATGCCGATGGGGTTATCGCCTCGAGGTGTAAAAGGGGCGATTTCATGGGGCTTGTTGCCACGCATCTGAGATACCCTGTCTTGTATAACCTGGGCGAAAGCGCCATGGCGCTTCTGGGGCTGGATGAAGCTGAACAGGGGACAGATCATCACCACGGCTCGAGGGCGGTGATCTACGGCTGCCGAGCAGGCGGTTATGACGGCACCGACAGAAAGACCCCATAGAATAATCCGGGAGGCATCGACACTTGGGAGTCGTGATACATAGGTGTATATGTCTGCGGTCAATGACAGTGTGAGCTCTCGGCCTTTGCATTCTGGGCAACCGTCTTGTTCTCGGGATGGATTCTCACCGGATAGGTCCTCGGCCATCTGCAGAGGGTCTATGAGGTTTCGCGGAGAGCCTCCGCTGCTACCCACGCTACGTGCGTCGTAGAAGAACACATTGTACCCTAGTGCGTGGAAGCCTTCGGCCACTTCTGGAAGTGCCATCTCCTTGACGCAGTTGAACTAGAGATGCCGTCAGTAGGGACCTCGTTCGCGTCTAAATTGCACCCGGGGGCCGGCTCAAAGATGCAGCCGGGGAAACCCACCCCGTGCGACATTATGATGGCCGGCGCCGGGCCGGCGGCCTCGTAGAGCCAGGCCGAAATGATCGTTCCGTCGATCAATTTGCACTCAACCAATCGGTGACCAGCAAGGAGTGCCATGGCGACAAGACGGATAAGTTATGAGGTAGAATGCAGTTGGGATCTCAGGCCATGAGTACACGTTGCTCAACTCCCATCGCTCATCCCTCGCAGCGTACTTAGCATCTGACTCGGAAGGAAGCATTGCAACCTATTCATTCGAGATCACGTGGGAGGAAGATAACGAATCCGGTCTCGGACGCGCCATTACCGTCTTCCATGTAAGCTGGCTCTCGTTCTTTTATGCAAGATGATTTCTGCAACATAAGACTGCAGACTGCAGACTGCAAATGATGGCACTGATTACCCGCAAGTCAGACACGTAATCCACAGTGGTACGAGGGCATGCAGTAATCATGCCAACACGCGCGCATTACCAGAATATCACAAGCATGCAGATAGCGCTTGGAACGCGTTTGAAGAGATTTAGGGGCAATAGCAAGGACTAGTCGAATGGAGTCAGGGGTCTCCCGGAAGCCTTCTCACAGAGTCATAAAAAGAAAAGGGGCAAAATAGAGAACCTTGAGCCGTAAGCTTAGAACCCTCTCCCAGGCTTCGATATCCGCTTTGCTCACCAGCCGGAAGGGAAGACACATCAGCATGGCTAAAACTCAGTTTCAACAAGAGCCTATGGCCATCATAGGCTTTGCCTGCCGCCTCCCTGGCGGCAACAACTCGCCGCAGAAGCTCTGGTCCTTCCTCGAGGACGGTGGTATTGCACCAAACACGGTACCGCCTTCGCGGTTCAACTTCGCGGGCCATTGGGATGGTTCCCACAAGCCTGGGACCATGCGCCCGGCGGGAGGCATGTTCCTCTCGGACACGGTTGACCTTGCACGCTTCGACGCCGGCTTCTTCGAAGTATCAGGGGCCGACGCGACCGCCATGGACCCCAACCAGCGGCAGATGCTAGAGGTCGTGTACGAGGGCCTCGAGAACGCAGGAATACCGCTCGAGAAGCTGAACGGCGAGCCTGTGGCGTGCTACGTGGGCTCGTACGCTACGGACTATCTGGACATGATGCAGCGCGATGCCGAGGACCGCGCGCCCGGCTTTCTGATCGGCACGGGCCGAGCCGTCATGGCGAACCGCATTAGCTATTTCCTGAACATAAAGGGGCCTAGCGTCACTCTGGACACTGCTTGTTCTGGGAGTCTTGTGGGCCTGGATCTTGCATGTCGATCCCTACAGGTAAGCAGCCCCATCATCCCCATCCTGCCATCGCGGTCATCCTTGGCGATTTGACTCCCAATCGATTTCCCACGACACGAGAGCTCCGGCTCCCGCGACAGAGCTCATGGCTGATTGCAGGATGCCGAGTAGGCCGGCGAGGTCAACATGGCCATAGTTACCGCAAGCAACCTGTACCTGAACCCCGACCACGTTATGGACATGGGCAGCGTGGGGCAAGCCCATTCCCCAACTGCCCTCTGTCACTCGTTCGATGCATCCGCCGACGGCTACTGCAAGGCCGAGGCGGTTGGTTGCCTGTTGGTGAAGAGGCTGTCCGATGCCGTGCGAGATCGGGACCCTATCCGGGCCATAGTTAGGGGCACGGCATCGAATTCCAACGGCAGAGGGAGCGGAACAGGATTGGGAGGCATCGCACAACCTAGCGGTGAGATGCAGGCCGCGGCGATACGCGCTGCTTACAAAAGAGCAGGCATCACCAACTTCAACGACACAGCGTTCCTGGAATGTCACGGCACAGGAACACCAGCTGGCGACCCTGAGGAGGTGCATGGGGCAGGATCGGTGTTTTCGCCGACGCGCGACGCACAGCGGCCCCTGGTCATAGGCTCCATCAAAGGTAAGCCGCGTGTTGAGTTACCGCGCAAGTGGTCAAGCAGCTTGTGTGTCCTGTCCAGTGATGGCTAATCCGAGACACCAGCCAATATCGGCCACAGTGAACCATCCGCGGGCATCTCAGGCTTGATCAAGGCCATCCTGGCTATGGAAAAGGGCATAATTCCCGGCAACCCTACCTTCTGGAAACCCAGCCCAAAGAGTAGGCAATCTTGACCCCCGGCTTTGCCTCTGCTTACAACTGACCACGACGACCTTTCCCAGTTGATTTCGCGGGCAGCAAAGTCAAGGTCACTCGAACAGCCATTGCATGGCCCGATGAAGGGTATCCGGTGCGACGAGCAAGTGTCAACTCGTTTGGGTTTGGTGGTTCTAACGCGCATGCCGTCGTCGACCAACCCAGCAAAGCCGACCGCCAAAGACACCTGTCCTCGTACCGGGGTGAGGACGAGGACAAGGACGAAGAGTTCGCAGATGACGACGCCGCATTCCATGTACAATCACCATCGCGACCGCGACCGTACACCCTGGTCATCTCGGCGAACGATGCAGTCGCCCTCAAGGCCAACGTCTCGGCGCTGTGTGACCACGTGGCGAACCTCGGCGTGAACGCGCCCGTAGCCGATGTCGCCTACACGCTCTCGGAGCGTCGTAGCCGGCTTTGGCATCGGGCCTTCGCGACAATTGACACAACTGACAACCTCGATGAGAGCGCGTTCGCGGTGGGCAAGAAAACAGCCCACCCGCCAAAGATAGGGCTCGTCTTCACTGGCCAAGGAGCGCAGTGGCCGCAGATGGGCAAAGAGTTGCTGGCCACATTTCCGCAGAGTCGAGAGGTGCTCCGGGAGCTTGACGGCGTGCTGAAAGCCCAGCCAGACCCGCCAGCGTGGTCGCTCGAAGCCGAGCTCAGCGAGCTGCGGTCGGCCGATCACCTTCGCCAACCCGAATTCTCGCAACCCTTGGTCACGGCGCTGCAGATCTGCATCTTGACGCTTCTTCAGTCGTGGGGTGTCAAGTCAAGCGCCGCGGTTGGCCACTCATCGGGCGAGATTGCTGCCGCCTACGCAGCCGGCTTTCTGGACCGCGCCGGCGCCATCAAAGCTGCCTTCTATCGTGGTCGTGCGGCCTTGAACTGCAATGACAAGGCTCAATCGGGGGTCAATGTTGGAATGCTGGCTGTAGGTCTCGGCGCCGACCAGGCCGGGCCGTTCTTGGAGAAACACAGGAACGCATGGATCGCGTGCTTCAACAGCCCCGGCAGTATCACAGTGTCTGGCCACCGGGAGACACTTGAGGTCCTTGCCGAAGAGATCAAGGCAGCTGGCCACTTTGCCCGGCTTCTCCAGGTTGACCTTGCGTACCACTCGCCTCTCATGGGGGTCATTGGCGACGAGTACGGCAGGCTTCTGCTCGAAGACCGGGAGTTCAAGCCGCTAGATGAGGACAAATGGCAGTCTGACGTAACCATGTTCTCGTCGGTCACAGCTGGCAAGAAGGCCACATCTGCAGATTACAAGTACTGGACCTCCAATATGGTGTCGCCTGTGCGCTTCGCCGAGGCTTTGAAGGATCTCGTGGCAAGCGAAGCACCTGATGTTCTCATCGAAGTCGGACCATCGGGTGCATTGGCTGGCCCCGTTGCGCAAGTGCTGAAGGATCAATCGCTCTCCAACGGCAGCAGCGTGGTATATCACGCCTCCTGGGCCCGCGGCTCCGGTGCAGTAAAGGCACTATTGGACGTGGCTGGCCGCCTATTCGCAGCTGGGGCGCCTATTGACATGGCAGCTGTCAACGGCGGATATGCAACTCAGCGAACCATTGTCGACCTTCCCAACTACCAATGGAACCACGGGGCGCGGTACTGGCACGAGAACGCGACGAGCGTCGAGTGGCGCAACAAGCGTTACATCACGCACGATCTGCTCGGCAGCAAGATCCCAGGCACATCCTGGAAGGCGCCGACGTGGCGTAAGAAGCTGAGCCTGGCTGACGTACCGTGGCTCAAGGACCATCAGATGGGGTCCGATGTGTTGGTGCCCGGCATGGCCTTTGCCGCCATGGCACTCGAGGCCATGTACCAGAAGCACTGCTCCCTACACCCCGAGGAGGCCAAGGGCATCGAGAGCCCCTCTGACCTCGCCTACCGCTTTCGCAACGTGAAATTCGACCGCGCTGTCGTTGTGGAGGAAGGAAAGCCTACAACCCTGCTGTTGACCCTGGCGAACGTCCCCGGTGGCGACGAGTGGCACGAGTTCCGAGTGCGCACCACCGCGGGAGAGAACCAAGACCTCATTTACGAGCACTGCAAAGGCCTTGTCAGGGTCCAAGAACCTCTAGGCGAAGAACACGCCCTACAAGGCGACGACCTCGCACCACTGCGTGACCCGCAGTCTGCAGAGCCATGGTACAAACTGCAGCGCGAGATGGGAAGCCATTTCGGCCCATCCTTCCGCAAGATCAAGCAGTGGGAGACAGTCAGCGGCCAACGGACTTGCCGTGCCTCACTCTCCCTAGAGCCTCCATCGTCAGCATGGGACCCTCAGTCTTCGTATCCGATTCACCCGGCCGTTCTCGACGTCTGTCAACAGACAGCGACGGCCGCGTTCCTGGCTGGCGAGCGCAGCACACTGAAAGATGTCATCATCCTGTCAGAGATCGACGACATGGTGGTCAACCGCGTGCCACGTCAGCTGAAAGACGGTCTGTCCGTTGCCGAAGCCGTGTGGACAGGCCGCGGTCGAGAGGAGCTTGTGCAGAGTTGGTCGACCAACGTGGCCGTCCATGATCCGGATAGCGGTGCGTTATACGTGCGCTTCCGCGGGCTCAACTACGTACGGCTGGACGTTGAGGAGAAACCAGACCTCCATGTGTTTGATGCCGTCAGGTGGAAGCCCGACATAACGCACATGTCGCAAGATCAGTTGCTCTACCTGGAGCCGACGGCCGGCAGCCGGCTGGACGAGGTCATAGACCTTGTTGCGCACAAGACGCCGCGCTTGAGTGTCCTGGAAATCAGCCTTGATGACGGGGAATTAGTAGACCAGAGCAGTCTTTGGCTTCAGGGCGGTAGCTCCGCGTCGCAGTCGGCCCGTGCCGCCTTCGCTCACTACACCTTTGCCGTGCCAGATGCGCAGATCCTGGTGGACGTGGAGTCGGCAAATTCAGGAAGGGGTGGCAACATCGAGCTCCATCTGCTGGCCCCGAATCAAGACGACCTGGGTCTCCCTTCGTCGGGGCTGACGTACGACCTAGCCATCGTCAAGGCCCCCACCGATGCCAGTGCGCAACTCGACAGTGTGCTCGGGAAACTGAAGAGGCTCTTGAAGCCGGACGCCTTCATACTTGTGGTCACCTCAACTGCGGATGTAGCGTATTCCAGCCCTTCCAGCGACGCCATGAGCGTGCCCGGGAGCGAGATGGCCAGCGAAAACAATAACCCCGTCACCCCAGACAGCGGCAGCGAGACACCAGCCAAATCCGCCAGCTCGTCCACGACGACGTTGGACTTCAAGCAATTCCCCCATGACGCCATGTCCCAGCGCTTGTCAAACGACGTATGGGGACCAGACAGTGTCATGCAGGTCCTCGGTACGTCTTTCCGCGCCTATCTGTGCAGCAACAGTGGCGGTGATGGCGACACGAGCCTGACGACAGGGGAAGTCCTCGTGGTGCGCTTCAATGATGCGACACCCCCCCTTTCCCCCACAATACGCCGCGCGATCGAGGCGTCGGGCTACACCGTAAGCGACAAGTCCGTTGAGGAACTTGGATTAGAAAGCGCCGAATCATCATCATCATCATCCTTATCTCCCATGTCGGCGCTGCTGGTCATGGACGAACTCGTTGCGCCCGTCTTAACAGACATCTCGCAGAGCAACTGGGAGAAACTGAAGAAGCTGGTCAGCTCGGGCAAGCCTATTCTCTGGGTTACCAAGGGCGCCCAGACAGACCGCGTCAACAATCCCGAGAACGCCATGGTACAAGGGCTGTTCCGCGTGGCCAGGCGTGAGGACCCGGGCGTTCGCCTGACCACGCTCGATGTCCAGAACCCCTCGAGCCCAGCAGCCCACTGGGCTATCGAGCGTGTGCTCCGCACGGTACTTCTAGCCGAGGGCGCCGTCGCCGACCATGAATACGCTGAGCGTGATGGCATGTTGCTCGTGCCGCGCATTGTCGTCGACGAGAGCCTCAACAGGTTCAAGGCGGCCGACATGGGCGCCGGCTTCGAACCCGTGGTCAAGGACTTCCACTCCAACGCAGCCCAGATTCGCTTTCAGGCGGACAAGAAGGGCTCGCTGGAGAGCCTGGCGTGGTGCGAAACGGCTGCCGGCGATGTCCCGATTGCACCAGGCAAACTCGACATCAAGGTCATGGCCATGGGTGTCAACTTCAAGGATGTCGCCACGACTATGGGCATCGTGCCCGAGAACGAGCACATGATTGGGTGCGAGTGCTCCGGATACATAAGACGTGTCGGCCCTGGCGTCACCGGCTTCAAGGTCGGCGATCGCGTCGTGGCGCAGACCAACGGAACCTATGTGAACCATCTGCAAGTCGTCTCTGACCGCGTGCATGTGATTCCGGACTCGATGGGCTTTGAGGACGCTGCTACCATCCCTCTGGTGTATCTGACGGCGATTTATTCTCTGTATCATCTCGGAAACCTACAAGAAGGCCAGGTGAGTATCATGATGCTTCCAAACGGCAACGGACTGCTCGCTACTACGATGAACCGGGTGCGCTGACTGTCTCTTCTCTCTTCTAAACAGTCGGTTCTCATTCACTCGGCCGCCGGTGGCGTCGGTATGGCGGCCATCCAACTGGCCCAGTACAAGAAGTGTGATGTGAGTATCACTTCCCGCGGCTCGCATGTCACGTCACGTTCCTGCTTTCCCCGGCAGGGAGACTGGAGTGAGGCAATAATTGCATGCTCACATACCATCAGGTCTTCGTTACCGTTAGCACCGACGATAAACGCGCGTTGCTTGCATCCCAGTTCAACATCCCCGCCAACCGCATGTTCTCGTCGCGCAACACCAAATTTGCCGAGCAAATACGGCGCGAAACACGCGGCCGTGGCGTCGATGTCATCCTCAACTCCCTGATTGGCGAGCTGCTAGATGAATCTTGGCGGCTAACGGCCGACGGCGGCGTCATGGTCGAAATTGGAAAGCGTGATATTGTCGATCGTAACACGCTGGCGATGGAGCCTTTCGACAGGAACTGCTCGTTCCGTGCCGTGGATTTGTCCTACGTCAAGCAGATCAGCGACAGTCTGACTGGAAAGTGAGTCTGACTCTGAGTCTCTCAAACTCGCATACACCCAGAGCAAAGCAACTCAGCTGACCATCATCTAGGCTACTAAGAGAGGTTTTCGACCTGGTGAGGGGCGGCCACGTTGGGCCTATCCATCCCGTCACCACATTCCCACTGGACGAGGCGGTCGCTGCTCTGTCCTACATACGGCGCGGCCAGCACATGGGTAAGATCGTGATATCCTGCAACGACCAAGAGGCACAGCTACCCATTCGGCCGGTGATGCCCAAGTTGGAGCTGAAGCCCGATGTTGCCTATCTGATCGTGGGAGGCCTCAAGGGTCTTTGCGGCAGTCTTGCTGTCCACATGGCCCGCCACGGTGCCCGGCATATCATCGCCATGAGCAGGAGTGGGATTAGCGACGAGGCATCTGCTCGCGTTGTCCGGAACTGCGCCTCGTACGGCTGCCACATCAGCGAGGCAAAGGGTGATGTCAGTGAGGCGAAATTTGTTCTTTCCGTGTTCCAGTCGTCGCGCTCTGGCATGAGGATCGCTGGTGTGATACAAGCTGCCATGGTCCTGAGGGACAGGCCTTACGAGATGATGACACACGAGGACTTCCACACGGCCACCAAGGCGAAGCTTGCAGGTACCTGGAACCTGCATATGGCTGCGCAACAGGACCAGCAATCACCGCTGGACTTCTTCACCATGCTATCGAGTATCTCGAGCGTCGTTGGCAACAAGGGCCAAACCAATTACGCAGCGGCCAACTCTTTTATGGACGCCTTTTCCTTCTACCGTCAGGGCCAGGGACTGCGGGCGCATACGGTCGACCTTGGTCTGATCGAGGATGTCGGGTACGTCGCTGAAGTGGGCGGAGCGGCTCTGGAGGCTCGCTTTGACAAGCGTGAATGGACGCCCATCAACGAAGGCATGCTTCGCCGCATCCTCAGCTACTCGATCATGCAGCAGGTCCACAGTCCTGGGTCTCTGAGCGCCGCGAGCGCCGCCCAAACGGTGACGGGCATTGCCTACCCACTCCCCCTGGACCAGTCCGACCTGGCAGACAACCGCCGGTTCGGGTACCTGTTCACTACCGCCACGAGCAACGCAGAAGGGGGCGGTGGCAACGAGGTAGCCGACCAGACCGCTCAGGCGATTCGTGCTTTCCGTATCATGCGCGAGGCTGGAGGCGCTGATGTGGCCGCGCTGGCCAAGGCAACAGTTCCGCTGCTACAGGGGCAGATCACGAAGCTCCTGCGCCTCGAGACGGAGATGGAACCAGGCAAACCGCCGATGGCGTACGGTCTTGACTCGCTCTCTGCGGTCGAGTTGCGCAGCTGGGTGCGGCAGAAGCTGGGCGGCGAGTTGAGCACTCTCGACATTACAAACGCCAGTTCCCTGATTGCCCTGTGTGAGAAGTTGGCAGCTAAGCTCCCCAAGTTGGAAGCAGTGGCAGCTGAAGCGTAATCACCAGGCGTCACGCGTGGTAGAACGTTTGATACAGGCGGTCGTGCGAGATCATGCCGGTTGATTTTTCTGTTACTCTTGGTGTACCGATTTCACCGGCAGTGCAATGTAAGGGCCCAAGGCCGATCACCTCTATGTTCCCAATTTTGAAGTCATTTTACATAGTGTTGGTCTCGAAGAGTATCTATTATATGCAAGTTTTGGCAAGGATCTAAGCAGGCATTGTGGTATCAGTTGACCGTGTGCTCTGAACTGTAACATCATCATGACGATGCGGCGTGGAGTAGATAGTATTATAGTAGATAGGCCCATCTTGCCTCTCGCTTCTCATGTCTACACTGACACTACTTCCCCGCAAGGCCTGCAATATGATCTTTGGCGGACCTTTCGATCATACTGGGGGCGAACGCGAATGTCCCGCGGGTCCCCAGCTCTACTCGGCGGTGGCGACACTGCATCGCGTTTGCTTTTCAAGCTATTTCCACCTGTTCATAAGCCCGTAGCAATAGAGACTTGAGCGCGAAATCCGATCGTTGTATGAAGATCATGGAATTCGGAATGAGCACCCTCCTGAGTCCTGGTACGAGCGGCGACCACGTTGTCGACGCTTACGGTGGGAAGTTGGAACTTGGCGTCTAGCACCAAGTCGGCCGTATAGCTAACACCTTGCTTGACCATGGTCGCTCTCGCTTAGGTGACCCCCTGCTCAAGCATTGGGTGGGTGACCCCTCTGAAGTTTCATGATAACATGCGTGGCGGCCCACCACCTCAGACCTGGTCGACGACTCGGCAAATGGTTCTGAGCCTGTCGCCGCAGCCAAAGCAGGTAATGTGCATCTCATGGGCTAGGATTGAATCTCAGATGCAGCAAAATGATGCCTGATTATCCTGTAGGGGGTAATCCGCCTGCAACGTAATCGTGTATTGCTGCATGCCCGGTAATCAGTTCACCTGCAACCATTATTCCTGCAACCTTTACTCCTGCAACCTTTACTCCTGCAACCTTTACTCCTGCAACCTTTACTCCTGCAACCTTTACTCCTGCAACCTTTACTCCTGCATCGTAATCAACCGCATGTTACAGCGCACCCTAAGAAGGAACTAATCACTTGCTTGGCTTGTGAACGTGACTTATCGCTGCAGAACTACCGATGCAGACGCTCATAAGCAGCAGGGAGTTTCTTGGTGCTGGGAGACTAGTCCCGATGTCGCTTGCCATGGCGTAGCATGGTTGTCAAGAGGACAGATCCTTGGTCAAGTCGCTTACCACGACTCCATCGAAGCATGCAGTTCACCAAAGTACCCGCTGCATGAACTATTCAATATTTAGTAGCTTGACCCTGCAGACAGCTACCAGTGGTATTACTTTATCCCACCGCCACCTCCAAGTCTGGAGGTACTTTTCTCTCACAAGCTACTTGCTTCGACCGACTGCCTCGGTCTACCGCCTGTTCGCAGCTCGATCACGCTCTCGCAATGGACAGACTAGAAGCTGTGCCTCTGGGCCCGCGGACTATGGTCCCTGCTGCACTCGGGCTCCTCTTCACCTACCTTGCTGTATCAACCTTTCTTACATGGTACCGCCTACGGAAGTTCAAAGGCCCGCTGTCCGCTGCCCTTTCTTACTTCTGGCTTGCCAATGCAAACTATTCAGGCAGGGCCCTAGACTATTATATGGGCGCTCGTGAGAAGTATGGGAAGACGCCCCTATTGCGGGTCGGGCCCGACACGCTCATGACGGACGACCCAGACGTGGTCAGGCAGATGAACACAGCAAGAAACGGCTACGACCGATCTCAATGGTACGATAGCTTCCGCCTGGACCCCTACGTCCACAACATGTTCAGCACCCGCGACCTGAGCTACCACGACGACATCAAGGCCCGTACCTCGGCTGGGTATTCCGGCAGGGAGGTCCCAAATCTGGAAGGGGATGTCAACGAGCAAGTCAACAGAATCAAGAACCTGATCCGTGAAAAGCATCTGTCCTCTCCAGGAGGCACAAAGCCCACCGACTTCACCTTGCTCGCCCAGCTTTTCACCCTCGACTCGTTGTCGACGATAGCCTACGGTGAACCATTCGGCTTCATCGCTGCCAATGAGGACTTGAATGGATTCGTGCGGAAAGCGAGGGCAACCTTCCCCTTCGTCACGTTGTGCAGCATGGTGCCTCTGATGAATAGGTTCTTCTTCTCCACCTTCTGGCTATCGATTGCGGGCCCGAGTAAAACGGATGGGTACGGGTTTGGCATGCTGATGGCGTGAGTGTTTGCAGCCAGTGGAACATCTGCCGTCGCAGCGGTTGTCAGTTGCGCCCATGAGTGCTAACACCCTTGTCCTCCTATAGTACCGCTGCGAAGGTGGTAGCACCACGATTCACTGACGCGAAAACTCCGAACCCCAAGGAGGACAAGCAGGACATGCTGGTAAGCTCCTGAGATCTCTGGACTCTGGTGCTGCTATTTTTGCGTGTTTTCATGAGCATCGGGCTGATTAAATACCGCCGCAGGGGGCTTTTGTTCGACACGGCCTGGACAAACGTCAATGCGAAGCCGAGGCCCTCCTCCAGATATTGGCCGGATCCGATAGCACGGGCAATGCAATCCGCTCTTTGATGCTCACACTAGTCTCATCGCCCCAAGTCTACACTCGATTGCAGAAGGAAATCGATGAGGCGAGTGCCAAAGATGCTATTTCGTCTCCCATCACCCTGGCCGAGGCGAGGTCTCTCCCCTATCTGCAGGTATGTAAAAACCCATATCAGTCTAAGCCGCTGCCTGTAGTTTCCTTCTGACTCTGCCGCAGGCCGTCATCTACGAGAGCCTCCGGTACCATCCTCCTCTAATCGGTGTGAACACGAAGGTTGTCCCAAAAGGTGGTGACACGCTCGCTGGACAATTTGTTCCGGGCGGGACAAACATCGCCGTCAATCCGTGGGCCTTGATGCGACACGTCCCGACGTTTGGCGAAGACGTGGACGTCTTCCGCCCCGATCGCTGGCTTGACGCATCGCCGGACCGGTACTTGAACATGCAGCGCAATGCGGAGCTCGTGTTTGGTCATGGGCGTTTCATGTGCGCCGGCAAGAACGTGGCCTTCATGGAGCTGAACAAGATGGCTGTCGAGGTTCGTTGGTTTTCTCTGGAGCCCTCTTTTACTATCTATCCGATGTTGACCTTGCTCTGAGGACTCATAACACTAACGGCGAGGCAGCTGTTACGAGACTTTGACTTCCAGTTGATCAACTTGTTGAAGCCCTGCGAAGAAGTGCTGTATACGCATTTCTTGATGGAGAATCTCTGGCTACGTGTGACCGCTAGAACTCGATAATCCGAGGCTAGGTGCCGGGGCGAGCGGCTCGTATATTGTCATCACTGGAATTGACGCAACGAAGGCTAGCCTAAGACAATGGAGGGGAAAGGGCGGAAACACTTGAGAGCTGAGAGAGGTGCAGATTGTGATGCGAGTGCTTTGTGATTCAATGTAAAGGATGCCTAGACATTCTAGCTGACTATGTATGCTCTGCACTCATTCTAGACAAAGATCATAGTAAGTATACAGGCTACCTAGGTAACGAGAGTTCAATCTTCAAAGCGGACGGAAGAAAAAGGCATGTACATTATTGCCTGCTTAAACGATAAGAAGGTTCGGCATAATTGAGTTCATCCAAGCTGTATGCAAGCAACGGTGAATTTCGGCTCTACCCTCGCAAAGGCCTGTTGGCAAAAGCTTTAGCACGAAATAGGAGCAGCTTGTCTTGGGTAACTGTATCATCATCTTGGTACTGCTTGCGCCGGAAGAATTCCTGGTACTCTAGCTGCTTTGGCTTATATGCCGATGTGGTATTTGCTGGACGAGACGGGGTAGGTAATCTCAGCAAGGATATTCTGCAAGTGAGGCTCGGCCCGGTTGGCGGCGTCAACGGCAAGGCGCGCCAGGCGCTGGGAGCCCTTCGTCGATGCCATCGTCCTTGCCTTGTGGCTCGTCACATCTGTAGCCCAAGGAAAAGGGATGAAGGAAGGAGGGGACTTTAGGGGAGAAAGGACGCACGTACAAAGAGGCAGCTCGATGCCTTCGACAAGGTACGGGCGCCGAAAAGATTGCATTGGGCCGAGGGGAAGACGCACCTGAATGTGGTGTCAAGGAAGGATTCTGTCGTCTTACTAGACCTCGCTGACAAGATCTTCCGTGCAGCTTTGCAAGGAGAGGTGGCCCGGTGACAGGGATATATCCCAACAAGGAGGTTTGGTGGAACAATGCACCAGAAGTGATCACATCAGTCCATACAGGTTTTCCGATCTCATGTTGGAACCATACTGGCAAATTCCAAGCGAAGTCACACGTACCTGTTGCACCAGAAGTACCCAAGTACCCGATCGAGGATGGTGGGAAAACCGGTGAAGAGCCAGAAAGCGTCCAAAAGAACATACGTCCATGTCGACTTGCGTGTGCTGGTTGCATGGATACCGTTTCGTCACAACCAACACTCTGCTTCGGATACGACGTGGCTGATCTGTTCGTCAGTAGGCGGTATGCTGCTAGGAGTCCCCCATGTACTGAACCGAGATGATCATCTGCAGCACGATGACACTCTTCGATGGGGATAAATCCCCCCGACCGCACCGACACGGCACATCACTCGGCATTGTGCTGTTGGTGCAGGGTGGTCATCAGAAGGGTTTCAATGTGATCAAAATGGGAATCAATAGTACCAGGCCCGGTCATTCAGCTGTGACGGAACACTGGTGCACTCGACCAAGCCTGGCCTCCCGTGATACCCTCTGATGGACCTTCTGGTGGTAGCTAGGTTGCACGCAGAGAAACTTGGATCATACATCAATACCACACTGTCGCCCAAACAGTTGTATCGCGGAGACAGTGTTAAAACCACCCCTTCTTCGTACAAATTGCAATCTAGTACAGGTTGGTCGACCTCGGGGCTACCCCCAATCTTTTGCAGCACGCGGTAGGCTCTCTCATTTACATGCTCCCCTCCAGGGAATGAATGCCGACGCTGTACTGATGGCCATTCGGACGTCATAAACGCGAGCTGTGCCACACCGTCTATGACTTGGTCTGACATCGGAGAAGTAGAAATCTGCGTGTTGGTAAGGCTCGCAGGCCTCGGTAGCATCCGTACATGCCCGGAGCCTCAATCACATACGCTCATCCACTCACATGCTTTTTGACGTAACATTATCATTCTGCAGACGATCCGTACCAGAGGAGCCCGCCCGGGATCACATGAATCCGACCAATCAGGTTTGCAGTACCTGCAGGTGATGATCACAGGCATCCATCCGTGGCATGCAGCAGGTCGTTGGACGGCTTGGAGACAATCGTTGTTGGTAGAGGGTAGTAATGAGCACGGGTGCATTCACGCTACCCGGCCCGACCGAACGAGGATGTTGGTCCGTTCCGCTACTTGGCTGTTGCCGGCGGTTACATCGAACTAATGCCACTGTAGAACAAGGCATGCACAAACTTGTCAGAACTGTGGCGCAGTGCATCGGCTACTCGGAAGCCCGGCCGTCATGCTTAGAAGTAGATTCACAGTGTCACGTTGGTGCAGATGTCTGGACATGACACCCGATTTGATTGGGTAGACCAGGTGTCTAGGCATATGTGACCGCATCCTGACCCAACATGTGCAATATGTGAATGCATTTTGATCACACGAGGTCTAATCATTCTGATGTTAAAATCGCCATCCTCGCATGTTCCGTGGACCGTGGTGCTTCTACTCTAAGGTACAGTATTTGATCAGGATTCAGGATGCAAGAGCTTGAGCGCTCCAAAAAGACCTAGAAGTAACGATGGTTCACCTCAAAGGCGTAACTGCCGCTGGTTTCGGTCGCTTTTCACAGACGTACCGCGGTCCGCGGCGAATGAGAGCCACAGCTGCGACGCATGTGAAGAACGGCCTTAGGCTTGTCAGATCATAGATCCAACCGCAACACCACAAGTAAGCATACGGAGGGCCGGACGCCTTATCGCCTAGGGAACTGGAAGGGGAAGGTATTACCAGACCTGGCGAACTGCGTGGCGGCGGCGCGGGTTATCAGTCGGCAACCTCGCGCGCCGTTCAAAAGCGTGATGATATGATAAACGGGCAGCCTGAACTGGTTGCGGAACACGGACCGTAAAGTAGCGGATTCTTATCCTTCCGATTTGTACCTATACCTCTACCGGGGATGAGCTCCCGGCCGCTGACGGCCATGCAAGGACCCTTTTTCAAACATGGTGTGATGCGACTCTTCTCTTCTCTATGCATGTCAGCATGGTCTTATCTCATACGGCTCCTACATGGGTGAACCAACAATGCAGGGTAATGTGCAATAGCCTGTAGGGTGTGGGCGTAGGAAACAGGGAGCCTCGATCGCAATCACAGACGTGATATTAATAGTGCCACCAACTTGCTGTCTTGTTGGAATCAGCCCCAATGCTGGCAGATCCTTCTCGCACATTATACAGCAGCTGGAAAATGGAATCAAGCCAAGATGAGAATCTGGAGCGAAGAAGGGAGCAAAATCGCCTTGCTCAACGGCGTTTTCGAGGTATGTTCTCCGGCGACCCCCAGCAGCCCCAGACGCCCTGGCCCCTTTCGGCTCCTTTTCCAGTTCTGCCGCTCCTTCAACCGAAAGTCAGCTGGGTGTGGTGCCAATGCCAAATGGTCCATCTGACATGAGAAAGAAAGGTACAGTGGTCGAAGCAAGGCTGCTGCCTTCCAGCCTCTGAGCTTCAGACCCTTGGAAACGCTAGCCCTAGATGAAATGGCGGCCTCTGATAGCCAGCCCTTGGAGCTATTCGGAAGCACCGAGATGAACGACTTTGTTATCGACACGGCCTTGTTCCCGGCCGTCGATCGCATCAGTCAGGATTATACACACAACAATCTCCCGCCTGGGTCACCCCAGCTGCTCGCGGCGCCACCATTACAGTCACGCGGTCACCTGAACGGAGCTGGCGCTGAGCTTACCACCACTACGGGCCCATCATGCGACGCGACCCCGGCCAGTGGCAGCTCGCGTGGCGAGTCGTCCCCAGTGTCGGGATGGCTGGGCCCCTTACACATAGCGGCGCATAAGGGGCATGACAAGATTTTGAAGCTGCTGATCCAACACAATCCAGACTGCAATGAGAAGGACGGCAGTAACTTGACACCGTTGATACATGCTGTGATAGGGGGCTACGAGGATGTGGTTAACACTCTGCTACAACACGCCGCACGTGTTTCTGAGATAGATCTGCAAGGCCGCTCATCTTTACACTGGGCCGTTGTGCACCGGCGGGACTCGATATTGCGGCTGCTGCTGGAGAACTGCCATGGCCTCGGCGCAGCGGTGAATGCCTACGATAATCATGGCAAAACGCCACTGCACATGGCTATCGACACGGGGTTCGAGGAAGGCGTGCAGATCCTTCTACGATATGGCGCCGATGTATGTAAAAAGACACGGAACTTCAAACATCAATAACAACATACCCTGCTTGAGACGTGAACCTGAACACTCGAGGTTTATCAGCAGCTGTTAGCTTAAATGAAGTCTATCTCTCTCGGCCTCTCAGGGCAGCGTACCCAACAACGTATAAAGGAGAAGTTCTATTTTTACCACACGGCACGAAGTATCTACTCAGATTGTTGGCATGTGGCTTGCCGGTGAACCGACGATTGTCACCTTTTGTCTTACTCGAACTCATATACAGGGGCTATGCTTCGATCTAACAACTTTCAGCTCTTCCCACGCCTATCCTCCCTGTCTTAACTCCCTCCCTTAAGGCAGACAGGCCTCGTGGGTCGCTTCGACAAGACCAGGATGGAATCCTGTGAGGTCTGGGCTTACCGGCGGCGTGGTATTTCCCGTAAGTTACAGGAAGAGGCGTTGCTAGATACCCTGCCGTCTCACTCCGTGATTCCGTGAAGGAGTTGGAAGTTCAAATGAGGCTTGGAAAAGTGCAATAGAGTGAGAGAAGGAGCTGTATAAGTAACTCGTTGTATCATCGTAGAAATCGTCCACGAAATCAAACATAGTATCTCACCATTCATTCATTCATTCCTTCATTTTACTCGAGAAACATCCGCCCTGTCACCGCCAAGACTACGCGACGATGCTGTTCTACGCAGTAATGGCCTTGGCCGTCTCTATGTCTCTCGTTTCGGCAGCACCAGAAAGGAGCCGCCCATGTCGTACCCTTCCGGGTGACAGTGATTGGCCCAGTGTCCGTGCATGGAACGCTCTGAACAGCACCGTTGGCGGCAGACTCATCCAGGGTGTCCCAGTGGCTCAGGTGTGCTACGGCATTCAAACCGAGGCTGAGGCTACGGCTTGCGCAAGCCTGAGAGATAGCTGGGGTCTGGTAGATCCTTTGTGAGTTGCACTGCGATACATCCGAACCGTGCCAAGCAAAGGAGGCTGATGTTACTATACCCACAGCTTGAGCCAGCCCGTCAGCGTCGTATCCCCTTACTTCGAGAACAACACGTGCACGCCATTCGTCCCCGTTGACACGCAGTCCACCAATGACACCTCGCTCTGCCAACTTGGCAACATGGCCTCGTACGCCATTGAAGTCTCAGGCGTTGAGACGGTCGTGGCTGGCCTCAGCTTTGCCCGTGAGCATAACCTCAGGCTCATTGTCAAGAACACGGGCCATGACTACCTGGGCGGGTCGGTCGGCAAGGGGTCGCTCGCGCTGTGGACGCACAACCTCACAGACATCACCCTGATGGAGAACTACACCAGTCAATACTACACGGGCGCCGCTTTCAGAATCGGCGCCGGCGTGCAGTTCACTGATTTTTCCAAGACTGCCGCTGCCCTGGGGCTGCGTGTGGTTGGTGGCAGCTGTCCAACTGTAGGTGCAAATGGCGGATGGCGACAGGGTGGAGGCCACGGGCCCCTGAGCTCTACCTATGGCCTTGGCGCCGACAACACGCTGGAGTTTGAAGTGGTCACGACCGACGGGCGGTACCTTACGGCTTCTCCTAAGGAGAACTCGGACCTATTCTTCGCTCTGGCTGGTGGCGGCGCCGGCAACTACGCTGTTGTCGTCTCGGCGGTTGTCAAGGGTCACAAGGACTCCCAGGTCGCGGGCAGCCGGCTTACCGTGAACAACAACGACGAAGACACCTACTGGAGCGTTGTCGAGGCGTGGATGAAGCACCTGCTCGTGCTGGACACCATTCACGGGTTTGCAAGCGAGGTGCTTATTACCGAGCAGTCGTTCTCCCTCGTCCTTGCCACCCTGCCCGGCGGCGATAAGACCACCATGACCGGGGCCTTGACTCCCTTCTACGACACCCTGGCCCAGCTGAACGTCACTCCCGTCGTCAACGAGACCAAGGTGCAAGGAAGCTACCTCGAGCACTACAACGAGTTCCTAGGCGGCGTGGAATTCACGCGCAACATCACAGTAGGCGGGCGCCTGATCCCCCGCTCTCTCGTACGGGACGACAGCGCTCTGTCGAACCTGACTGCGACATTCAAGACCATGGTCGCCGACTCGGATACGGCGGTCTACCTGCTCGGGTACAACGTCACCAACGGCGTTGCGGGCGTCCCGGAAGGTTACAATGCGGTGACACCTGCATGGCGCGACTCTCTGTTCCTCATCAACATTATTATCGAGGGCCAGGCCACCGACGACTGGCCCAAGATGGAGAGCGACCTGGCCCGTGCCAATGTCTGGCAGGACAAGCTCCGCGACTTCACCCCCGGTGGTGGCGCTTACATCAATGAGGGAACGTTCAACGCCCCTCAGTGGAAGGACGACTACTTCGGTGGCACATACGACCGTCTGCTGTCCATCAAGACCAAGTACGACCCCAACTTCGTGCTATGGACCCGTCCAGGGGCGGGCGCCGACCTGTACGAGGAAAGGCCAGACGGTCACCTGTGCAAGGTCTGATTGTCTGACTTGCCTTATTGACTATTAAAGGCATCAACTTCTGACTTCATGCACTGTAACTCTCTTACTTACTTACATGGGGGGTTGGATACCGGTTAGACCATACCTCCCCTTGAGCCCAAGCTCGCTTCACTTCGAACTTGTCAGTTTTAACTTTTCGGTCATATCTGTACGTTTATAAGAATGGGACATAGATAGTATATTGCCAACTTGCAGAATTTTCATCGCTCGCTTACACCCTTCCCGCGACCGACACGCAATGCGCTGGTCACACTTGCTGCCATGCCGTACACATGTTTCAAGGCAATGGCACCAACATCCGATCAATTAGCGCTACGTCACAGTTCGACTGCTGGTGACTCCAGAAATGACTTTGTTGATGTACATGAAGAAGGAAATAAATTATGAAGCTAGCTAGGTAGGTGACAGGATCTAGTATATATAGGGGTTGACCCCTGGAGCTGTGGGGCTGTCACCTAGTGCCGTGACACGCTGGCAGGGGCTTCGTGAGTATTTGCTAGATGATACTGGGGATACTGTCCCGGGATGAGTGATGCGTAAGGTATAATATTAATTATATATAGCACAGTCTCGCAGGCTATCCCGTAACTTATCAGAAGGGCACTTGACATGATAATGAACAAGGCGGTTTGATTGCTAATAAGGGTTTTTATGCTGAGTGTGAGTCTAGCTGCGGTTCCTTCCATTCTCCCCTATAGGTACTCAAGCCTGGCACACTTTACCAAGGTGTCACGTCGCCGTTGAAGAGCACAAGCTTGCCGCCGTGCTTCTCGCGACTAGTCTCGGTCACGACCTTGAACATGCCGTCGCACGAGTCGTCGCAGCTGATCATGAACTTGGCCTGCGTGTCCTCGTCGGCGCCGAGGCCGATAGCGCCCGCATCGCCCAAGTCGGTGTGCACCCAGCCGGGGCCCAGAGAGAACGAGTTGAGCCAGTCGTCCTCCATGTGGATCTTGATGGTAAACCATGCCGAGACACTCTTGGAGGGGCCGTAGGCGGCGTTGGGGAACGGGAGCGGAGAGCTGTGAGGTTGTCGTGAGTATGTGCACGATATAAAGGCAAGGGAGGGATTGGGATTCTGGATGGCTTTTACGTACTTTAAGCTGCCAGCTGTGCTGCCCATATTGGTCAAGACAGGCTCCTTCTTGGACTTCTTCAGTAGCGGTCGGAAAGCCTGGTACAGCGCCACACCGCCGTAGGCGTTGGGCCACATGTGAGCCTCGATGTCCTCCAACTTGACCTCGGCGACCTTGGGCCAAGTGTAGCTGACGCCGGCGTTGGCGATGACGACGTCGACGTGGTCAATGCCCTGAGCCTCGAGTGTCTTGACGGCATCGAAGGGGTCTTGCCAGACCTTGGCGTCGATCTTGATTACGATCAGCTTGGTGCCCTCGGCCGTCGGCAGCTTGGAAAGCTCCTTGGACGAAGGGTGGTCTGGGTTGCGGTTGGCGGCAATGAGGGTGTGGTTCGGCAGCTTGAGGTAGCGCTCAAGCATGCCCTTGCCGAGGCCCCGATTGGCCCCGGTAATCAGCACAATGGTGGACATGTTTGGAGTGTGTGGGAATGGGGGTTCTGAAGCGAGAAGTGGTTAGGAGGGTGGAGAGGTAGAGAGGTAGACAGGCACGGAGCGGATTCGGCCTGCGGAGGTTTGAGCATGACCCCTATTTGTGAAAAGGGATATGGGACAAGGCCTGGCCTACGGCTTACAAATGCAAAATGCAGCAAACGCCTGCGCCCGCTGTGCGTGGGCGCTTACAAATGCATCTGCTTTGTCCCCCTCGCTGGGTAAATTAGCATGAACTGATCACATTGCATGAGCATTCATGTTGGCTTACCGACATGAAAGCTGCAAGTGCTGCTGGCGGGGGTCTCGGGCGAATAGGTATGCATGCAGTGTAACGGGAGTGACCTGCACGCTTATATGGTGGTGCAGTTGGTGTCATCCATCCCTGGAGGGGCTGTGTGTGTATGGCTCTGGGGATGTGTTTATCGAAGCCAACCTCAGCCTTACCATTACGTATCACGTATCACGTCCCGTGTTGTGCCCATGATGAGTGAGAGCCAAAAGTCGGTAACTGCAGGAGTATCTCCCTTGCCAGCACGCCATAATCAGGTCCCATGGTTGGAAGCACCAGTCCGAGCAGCCGAGCCATGTAAAGGGATTAAAGGGATGGCAACGATGCCCGCATGGTCAATTCCCTCGGTTCGGTCGTGGCACTCTTGCTCAATGGTCCAAGTCTCTGGGCCTCTGGCTGATCACCACTATAGCTGGCCACGTGTGCAGTTTCAGGTTTCAGGTGTCAAATGTCAATTGATTGCATACAAAAAGCCGCCTGTAGTCATCTGCCTTCCCATTTCGGTCACTGCAGCCGGGTAATATAGAAAGATAACCACCGTGCTAAGGTTACGTACATGCCACCTCAGGCAGTATGTCCCAATCATCTTCAACTTCACGTTTTCTCCCTCAAGCTCTGAACAGGATGCGCACACCCTGGCTTCCTTCGGCAGGGACAGGAATGATGTAGTCACTGTGCGCATCGACATCCCTCGCGCGCTTCGTGTCATACAGTTCCATGGTTGGCCCCTTTTGCCCCGTGTACAAGTCATACTTGAGGATGAGCGTGGCAAGAATGAGTGCCATCTCACGCCGGGCGAGAGTCATACTGGCGGGGAGAAGAAACGAGTCAGTAGGCACACATAGAAGAAAGAGCATGATGAAGACATACCCAACGCAGTTCCTCGAACCGCGTGCAAAGCCATGAAAGTAGCGGGCCAACTTGGGATTGTCAATCCACCGCTGTGGGCGAAACTCGTAGGGATCCTCAAAAGCGTCGGGGTCCCGGTGCGTGATGTGCGGCGACATGCTGGTGACAGCGCCGGGCGGAACTACATATGTCTTCCCCTTTGCGCTGTCAACGTACGTGACGGGTACGTCGGGCGAGACCCGCATCTGCCTGGTCAGGACGCCTGGGTGCACCCGCAAGGCCTCTTGGATGACAGCGCCGAGGTAAAGCAGGCCTTCCACCTGTGAGAGGGCGGGTATGCCGTCCTCACCAACATCGACACCCGACAGCTCGGCCTTCAGCTTGCGCAGCTCGTCGGGATGGGCGAGCAGCTCGTATAGAGCGGCGTTGAGGCCCCATGCTAACGGTTCATTGTCGCATTAGTGGTTAACCGGTAGGATGATGTTGATGTGTGATCGGATTGACGAACCTGTTGTGCCTTCACCCGCAAAGACCACGAGCTGCGCCTCGCTCGCTAGACGAGCGTCACTCTTCTCTTCATCGGGCAGTTTGCTTGTCAGGATGCCTCCGAAGATAGTATGCTTCACACGCTGGAGATCAGGCGACTTCCGAATCGAATGGACTTGATCGAGCCACCACTTGATTCCGGGGCGCAGTGCTGTCAGTCTAGAATCGCGGAAAAGAGGAAGAGAAAGAGGAAAAACCAACGGTTTGCCTGTCTCGAACCTCGCTTAGTCCTGGGAACAGACTGCGGAGAAGCCAGCCGGGGGAATTCTGTATCAGAGGATACAGCCAAGGGAGGATGACACAGACGTGCGTTAGGAGGAAGAAGTTGTTAGTTGACTCGAAGTAGGATTGGCCATAATCAGGCATGTCGAGGAAGTCAAAGGAGTTATCGAACGCGTACATAGTGATGATGTCGCTTGCAGCGGCCTTGAATACCTCGTGGATCTTGACGATGCTGTTTGTGCGAGCGGACTCGTCCAGCCTCGAGAGTAGCTTGGCCAGGTGCTGTCTCATGATGTGCTCGAACCTGTGAATACTGGCTGCGGAGAAGAACGAACTCAGGGCGTTACGGCGTTGCCGATGCAGTTCGTGGTGGGTGGTAGATACGATTGAGTAAGGAGCTGTCCTGTCAGTCTGCAATGCATGTTCGCATCATAGGGTCAGTGGGCCTCACTGCCAGTCAAAAGAGCGAACCACGATGGCTTCTCTGTCTTCCTCCTGCCGGCAGGGTACAGGGCGTCGAGGAACTCCGGGTCGGCGAAATGCACCTCCTCTGGAGTTATCCTGACAATTGGGCCGTACTGCTTATGCAACTCGGCCACTTTGAGGAAGTATTTCCCCCCAAGCCAGACTTCGTAATAGCCTTCATATAGGTAGGTCAAAGCTACGCCGCGTCAAACACATGATACTGAGGACACGCGCAAGGGAGGCTCTCACCAGCCAACTTGGGGCCTGGGATATTGGATAGCGGTGAAAAGTATACTTGGTAATGGTCAGCTTGTCTGACTCTGACGCAAGGCACCCGCAAGACAACACGAACCTCTGTAGATACGAAAGCATGCCCAGTACACGGCGAGGACGGCGAGCGACACGGAAGCAGCAGGGCGCCACCAGTGCGCAAAACCATTCTGCACTTCCGACCATACTGCCAAGGTAAAAGAGTAGAGCCCAGACATGATCAACAATGGGTTTTGCGGTTGATTCCCCTGAGCACGGACCTGACAGCCTGCTGTCTCTACCTTGTAGCCCTCGAGAGTATATATGTCTACCTTGGCGGTAACACGGCGGTTGGGACGATGTCTCTCGTATGCATTGGGGTAATCGCGCAGAAGAAGCCGTAATCGCGCATGACCCCAGAGACGCCAGCTGATTCAGTGTGACAGAGTCACAGTCGCATTATCGCACGAGAGCGCTGCTGGCCTAGCTACCTTAGCGATGCTTCCCAGGATGTGAGGTGGACTGGACGCAGAATGACCGTACCTTACCGAAAGCCTGAAGTTGCGGCGTTACTCAACCAGTGATGGTGCTTTGAGAATGCTCCAGACGGGATGGACCGCTTCGAAGTCCGAAATCAGCACAATATGTCAAAACGCCTATGTATCTGAGCAGCACTTGTTGTGTTATCGTCACGTCTTCGTCGTGCGGTCGAGGATCTTCCTGGAATTTGGCATTGAATTGGAGGTTGGAAAACCGGTAGCGCAGCTAGGCTCACACTAGATCGAATACCTCAAACAGCCTCATCATTTATGACCTCTTCTGATGCTGATGCCAAAGGATTACTTGGCACAGATGAGCAGCGTGGGGTCAGTTCAGGTCCAGCTCCAGCTCAGGGCTGTTCCCAAAACACAGTATCTAGAACGAGTAATGCAAACACCACTCCATGAATTCCTCATCCTCCAATAAGATATTCATCTCGTCCTCGAACAGGTTCAACACCAGTTCTACGCCGCCGTACGTCTTGCGTGGCAGGACAAAGCACACCTGCGACGCGCGGTTGAACCGTCGCATGAGCGGGCGCACTGCGTCAGGCCTACCCCCATTGGCGAACACCTTCCCTCCAAACGCGACGCCCTCAACGGGAAACATCAGCAGCGATGAGAGCACCATGTCGAACGAGTTGGGCGTGTGCCCACGGTTAAGCCTAATGCGATCCAGGTCACCCACTTCCCTGGCCAGGGTGTAAGCGTCCAGCAGCGCCTGGCGCGTGGCCTTGTTGAGCACCGAACGGATGGCCTGGGCGACGATCCCTAGGCTTGTCTCCGGCGCCGTCAAGGAGCTGAGGGGCTGCGAGCAGATGTTGACGAAGAATAGGTTGCCCAAGTACAGCATGGGCATGTCGTGCGAAATGTCGGGACGCGCGTCGAGCGTGACGAAGAGCCTGGCTTCAGCGGCGGCTAGGTCGGCCTTGCTTATTGACATATGGCCACCGGCGAGTGCAGCCTTGTACTTTGCCTTGAGCATGCAGCGCCAGACCAGAGCGCTTAGCGCGTCATTGCCCGAGATGTTCATGCCCGTGGGCTTGTTCTCAGCGCAGTGCTTCTGTAGCGCCGAGAACTTCTCGGGCGAGACGTAGAACACTGCGGCTTGCATGACGTCGTCTGACAGCGTCTTCAACGACTTGGCTGCCTCGATCTTCGGAGCGCCTGGGCGCTGCAGATCTAGTAAGCTCCACGACTCAGGATCGACCTGCGCCATGGGTGTGCCTGTGCTCTCCTTCTCCCAGATACGGTCCAGGATGGTGCGGTCCTGGCTCTCTGCAGATGGCGCTTCAGGCCATGGAGACCCGGGCTGCTGTAGCTTCTCACAATTGCTGGCAAATATCTTCCAAACGTCGAAGTAGCTCGTGCCATCACATGCGGCATGTTGCGTTCCGACTACGAGCAGACAAGCGCCCTCCAGAAAGTTGATCTGGGCTTTGAAACAGTCTGGAGCGCTATCGAGACTGGGGAGGAGCTCCGCCGTTATGAGCTGCTCGTCTTCGAAGGCGTCCAAGGGGAATCCGGTCTCCCTTAGGTCTTCGTAGCTCATGCCCACCTCATCGGGATAGACATGGTTGACCCGGATCTGGCGGAGGGCGATGTCCCCTTCAAAGTCGGCTACATCGTAACGGATCTCAAGCTGGCCGGGACGCCATCCGGGAGCGGTGGAGGACTGTGGGTAGACTTTCCCGCTGAGCCATGGGAGTTGCGTGAAAGTACGGCGAAGTCCTTCTTGCAGCACGCTGACGACCTCATCGGGCGTCACGCCATCTTTCAAGGGTAGATAGCTACAGAAAAATGTATAGTTGCTGGGAGGAAAATGATCCAGTGGATTGAGGGTAACGTGTGTCAACGACTTGGAGGCCATTTTCGGCGAGATGCACGTCGCGCGAGGAACCTGTGAGCAGTTGACATGATTCTGGCAATATGTTAGAGCATCCAGCTGTCCCCATAAACTTAATAATGCCAGAAGGCTCCCCTTGCGAGCTCGGGCGCATTATACGCACGCATGCATGCGCTGTAAGCTCAAAATGTAAGGTTGTAAGAGAGCGAAGATGGTGAGTGGTGATGACAGCTGCACGATTACCCCCCGCAGCCACTCATCTTGCTGACAGAAAGGGCATAACTTACCACACACGATAACACCGCTCTGCCAACCTTAGCACCCTTGCAGAGGAGCCACTGAGAGAGAACCAGCCGCCGACAGCTGTGAACACTTCACTCCCAGCTCTTACTCGCACCCGTGACATGTCGGTCATATAGTTATAGCTAAACGAGCCGCTGTGGGCTAATCAGTAGAGCGACCACTCTTCAGATCAATCGTATCGAAATAGTCAATCCATAGACATTATGGCCCCTTCGCGTGAGACGCCGGCGTCGGCGAGTCAGCCGACGACGAGACACCACGCCGACGGCGTCAATGGCTACACGAACGGAGTCAACAGCAACGGAGTCAACGGCAACGACGGCGCGAAGACTACGCCTCCGGCCCCAATTGCCGTTGTCGGCATGGCCTGCCGCTTCGCCGGCAATGTCACCAGCCCAGCCAAGCTGTGGGACCTGTGCACCGAGGGCCGCGACTGCTGGTCTCCTATCCCCAAGGAGAGGTTTGACGTGAAATCGCTGTACCACCCCGACAGAGAGAGGCCGGGTAGGAGTCATGCCACCGGCGGCTACTTCATGAACGAAGATGTGGCCCTGTTCGACGCGGCCTTCTTCAATTTCCCTGCCGACGTGGCCAACGTAAGTTGCAATCGGTTCTCTACGCGTTGAAGAAGACCAGGAGAGAGCTGACGCCGCCATCTGCACCCAGACCATGGATCCCCAGATCCGCCTGCTTCTCGAGGTCGTATATGAGTCAACGGAGGACGGTGTGTGCACCTAATTGAAACTTCTCTGACTATACATGCGGGAGATTTACTGACATACGTACGCAACATAGCTGGGATACCGATGGAGACGCTGTCAGGCACAAACACTTCCGTCTTCTCGGGCTGTTACGGGAAGGACTACCACGATCTCCAGACGCGAGATCCCGAGGCCATGCAGCCATCCTTCTTGATAGGGAACTACACGGCCATGATGTCGAACCGTATCAGTCACTACTACAACCTTCAGGGAGCGAGCATGTCCATCGACACGGGCTGTTCCGCGGGGTTGGCCTGCCTGCACCAGGGATGTCTGACTATTCGCACCGGCGAGTCCGACGTATCCATTGTAGGCGCCTCCAGCACCATGCTCAACCCCGACATATTCATCGCCATGTCAACCCTGGGCATGGTCGGCAAAGATGGAAGATGCTACGCCTGGGACGAACGAGCTCAAGGCTACGGCCGCGGAGAGGGTGTCGCGGCGCTGGTGCTGAAGAGCCTGGACGCGGCGTTGCGGGACGGCGATCGTATCCATGCCGTGATCCGGGAAACGGGTCTCAACCAGGATGGCAAGACACAGAGTATCACGTCTCCGTCGGTCGACGCCCAGGTGCGCCTTATACGGGACTGCTACCGGCGCGCAGGGCTGGATCTTTCCGAGACCGGGTACGTCGAGGCCCATATGACGGGCACCCAGGTCGGAGACTTGGCGGAGGCGAAAGCCCTAGCCCAGACCTTTGGTACAAGCCGTCGCACAGCGGCTGATGCCAGTGAGGCAGTTTTGGTCGGATCTGTCAAGGTGAGTTGTCCATCTACTAGACTCCCATCAGACTAATTCTTGAACCTAATCCGCGAGCACACTAGACGAATATTGGCCACACTGAAGGAGTCAGCGGGCTCGCGGCCATAATCAAGGCGGTCTATGCTATGAAGAGCAGACAGGTGCCAGCGAACCAAAATTACGCAGTCGGAAACCCAGAGATCAAGCTGAATGACTGGCATCTGAACGTGCCTGCAGGCTTGACGGCTTGGCCCAAAGACAAACCGCTGCGGACGTCGATAAATAACTTTGGATATGGCGGCACGAACGCCCATGTCATTCTCGAGGCGGCGCCGCTCGAAGACGCCAACATGAATGGAAATGGAAACGGCCATGCGTCAATATATGGTGCGGGAAGTGAGGACGACGATAGTTCCCGCGTCTTTGTCGTGAGCGCCAAAGACACCAACGTCGCCCGTACCATGGCTAAGAACCTGGCTGCCCACCTGCGACTGTGCATCGAGGACGGGGAAGAACATTCGCTCGGTGACCTCGCCTACACACTAGCTGAGCGACGATCCCGCCTCGACTGTGTGGCCGCCGCGAGAGCCACGACTTTGGCCGAACTCGTCGATCGTCTAGAGAGCCCTGCTCTCAAGGTTTCTCCAGCGGCTGTCAAGAAACCACGCCTGGGCTTTGTCTTCAACGGCCAAGGGGCTCAGTGGCACGCTATGGGCCGGGAACTGATAAATACTTACCCAGTATTTGCTTCTACCCTCGCGGAAGCCGACGACGTGCTGCGTAGCTACGGCGCAGACTGGTCACTAGAAGGTAGGTGAACCCTCTCACCTGACTATATGCCTGTTGAGTGCCATGCTAACAGACGGGACTGCAGCGGAGCTGATGCGCGACGCCAAGTCCACCCGCGTCTCCGAGATCCATCTCAGCCAGCCCGTCACGGTTGCCCTGCAGATCTGCCTGGTGCAGCTGCTGCGGTCATGGGATATCCACCCCTCGGCGGTCGTAAGTCACTCCAGTGGCGAGATTGCGGCAGCGTTCACTGTTGGGGCGCTCTCGTTTCGCGAAGCACTTGGCGTGGTCTACTACCGCGGCGACCTTGCGCGCAAACACAAGAACTCGTCGCCACAGGAGGGAGGCATGGCCGCTGCAGGCATCAGCGCGAGCGATGCCGAGCGGTACACGGCTAATACCACGGCGGGAGGCCGCGTGGTCGTAGCATGTGTCAATAGTCCCGAGAGCGTGACACTATCCGGCGACTTAGACGACCTTGACGAAGTGGTGGAGCGCCTGGAGCGTGATGGCTTGTTCGCGCGGAAGTTGAAGGTGCCCCTGGCATACCATTCGCACCACATGTTGCCCGTGGCGTCAGATTACACCGACAAGCTCAAGCATATTCTCCCACCGAAATGTTCCTGGGAAGGTGGCATTGTGTATGCTACTCCTGTGACGGGCAATCTTCTCGATTCCCCCGATGGCCTCACGCCCGAGCACTGGGTCCGCAATCTCACCAGTCCTGTACTGTTCAGCGAGGCGTTCGAAGCCATGTCCGGAAGCGTAGACGCAGTCGTGGAAGTCGGACCACATGGCACGCTCGCGGGGCCCATTCGGCAGATCCTCAATGGGAGGAAAATGCCCCATGTTTCATGCCTTAAGAGACATACGAACGCCGTCGACACGATGCAAGACCTCGCATGCGATTTACTTGGGCTCGGATATCCCGTCTCACTGGGCGCAGTGAACGCTGTGCCCGGGTCGGGGTGTACTAACTTCGTGCCAAATTTGCCTACGTATGCCTGGAATCACACGAGGCGATACTGGGTTGAATCCCGCGTCAACAGGGACATCCGGCAGAAGAGGTTCCCACCTCACGAGCTTCTGGGCCTACCTGTCGCGGGTGGCACGCCTTTGACAGCCGAATGGCGCAATTTCTTGCGCCTGTCCGACGTGCCATGGCTGATCGACCATCAGGTCGATTCGCAAGTTGTTCTTCCTGGCGCCGCCTACATTTCCATGGCAGTTGAGGCAGCGCATTTTCTGGCAGATGAGTCTGACGTGAGCACGGAAGGGTATCGGATTCGTGATGCCGAGTTTCTGAATGCTCTCACCGTCCCGGAATCTTCAGCCGTCGAGGTACGCCTGCACCTGCAACCGGTCGAGTCCTCCGGTTGGTATGACTTCCGGGTCGGCTCGATGGGAGGATCTGGTACATGGGTGGACAACTGCCGAGGCCAAGTTTCGATCGTCGCGGAGCAAGATACGTCGAAAGCCCCTTGCAGAGACCAATTCTTCGACGTGGGAGGGGAAGTGCGAGACGTAGATGCATCGGACCTGGTCGCTAAGATAGGCGAAATGAGCATCAAGTACGGGCCATTGTTCCAGAACCTGAAACAAGGGCGTGCAGCGGCAAACAAGGCCGTCATGGACCTGCGCATTTCTAGTGTGGCGTCCGGCTCGCAGAGCTATATCATCCATCCTACCACGTTGGATTGCATCGTACAGGCTACCTATGAAGCCTTGCCCGATGGCACGAGCAAAAGGTTCATTGTCCTTCCGAGATCTGCCCAGAGCATGTTCATCCCACGACATGTGCACCAGCGCGCAGGCGAGAAGCTGCATGTCTTTACTGAATTACAACAGTCGCACAGAAAGGGGTTTACCTCGGCAGTGGTGGTAGCGAATGCTGGCGACACGGCATTGTCACCTCTCCGGATAGAGAACCTCTTCTGCCAGGCTATTTCTCGAGGCAATAATAGCACAACCAGTGACCCAGAGTTGGAGGTATCGCAGTACCAAAGCCTCTGGAAGCTAGATGTCCTCCATGGTATCCCAAAGACCATGAAGGATTCTATGCGCATCACATTAGCCGATGACGACACAGCCTATGAAAAGAAGATGCTGCGGGCTTCGTATTACTTGATATCGAATGCTGTGTCTCAGCTGGAAAATGAGACGAAACACGACTGGACCGAGTACCGCAAGATGATGTCCAATTGGATGTTAGAAATGGTCAATGTCGGGAAGAAAGGTGAGCTCGGCTCTGGAAGCAAGATGTGGTCCAGGGCGACCAAAGGAATGAAGCAGGGACTTTTCGACGAACTCAGTCGTGGAGATGCTTCTGGTCAGCTTCTTGTGCGGGTCGGAGCAAAGATGGCCGAGATCCTACGCGGTCATATCACACCTCTTGAGCTGATGGTGGAGGGAGATCTCCTGAACAAGTATTATATGGAGCTGCCCATGCTCAAATCCCGCAGCTACAAGCATGTGGCCCATCTGACCAGACTGTTCGCTGTCAAGAACCCCGGTGCGGAAGTACTCGAGATTGGAGGTGGCTCTGGAGGGGCTACTCAAGTCATACTCGACGCATTCGGGGCTGGAGGTGGTAGTGCGGGCTCCTTACTAGGTCGATACACCTTCACCGACGCGTCACCAAACTCTTTGGAGCTTGCGCGTCAGAATCTGGCTTCTTGGGGCGGCTTGGTCGATTTTCAGGAGCTCGATATCGAGAAGGATGCCCCTGGCGAGGCAGATGCCGTCATCACGGGGAGTTTTGACTTCATCGTGGCGTCTATGGCGTTCAGCAAGACAAAAAGCATAGAGCAGGCATTGCAGAATATCCGGAAGCTGCTTAAGCCCAGCGGCAAGCTTCTCCTAGTGGAGCCCACGCGAAACAAACTCGATATTCAGCTTATCTCTCGCACATTGCCTGGGTGGTGGTCAAGTGAAGAGCAAGGCCGCAGGATGAGTCCCCATGTCCGCACAGAGGCGTGGGATGAAGCGCTCCGTAGTACGGGTTTCACGGGCGTGGACTTCGAGATTGGAGACTGCGAGCAGACCCAGTTCCAGTGCTCGAGCACGATTCTATCAACTGCCGCCGCACCCCTGTCATTGCCATCGGCTGTGAGCGTCGTGTACACAGCCCCGGTGCCTGAGGCCTGGAACGCGCAGCTCTCTGACGCCATCCAGAAAAAGGCTGGCATTTCCGTACGGGCAGAGAGCTTGGACCAAGTCGAGCCCGAAGACAAGGTGTATATCTTCACCGGAGATATGACTGGGCCCTTCGTCAATGGGATGGACCAAGCCTCGTTCCATAGACTCCAGCAACTTATCGTTCGCAGTCGTGGAGTCTTATGGCTCAGCTGTGGTGGCGCCGTAGATGCTCAGAGCCCGATACACGCCCAATCCCAGGGATTATTGCGCACATTGCGGCAAGAGAATGCCAGCACACGTTACATCCATCTGGACTTTGAGCAGACGAAAGAGGAGCTTTGGACGCTTGACAAGATTGATCACATCGTTTGCGTACTGCAGCAGTCGATGGACGATAATATCGGTTTGGATAGTGTGGACTGGGAGTATGCCGTCAAGGACAATGTGCTGCACATTCCTAGGGTCTTCCCTGATGACGGGGAGATTGCAGCCCCCAAGCCCCATGAGCAACCATTTCACCAACCGGGTCGAACAGTGGTATGGCAATCCGAGAAGTCCATATTTGCAGAGAGTGGTCAAATTAAAGTCAGCGTCTCTCGTGGCATGGTGCAGATTGAGGTCAGAGCCTTTGGCCTCCGACCACGGCACACTGCAACTGATGACGAAGACATTGCGGTGTACGATTTGGCTGGTGTTGTCAGTCAGTGCGGCGCCGATACGGAAGAAAGTGGGCTCCGAGCCGGGGATAGAGTCAGTGGTCTGGCTAAGGGGCCCTTTGCAAGCACGGCACAAGCCCATTGGACCGCAGTCGTGAAGGTTCCTGACAACATGTCATTTGTGGACGCGGCGTCTATACCCATCGCGTATGCCGCAGCATACCACTCGCTAATAGACATCGGACGGCTGAGACGGGGCGAGTCGGTGCTGATCCATCCGGCCACAGACGATGTGAGCCAAGCTGCCATTATTGTGGCTCAGCATACAGGCGCCGATGTGTTCGCCACCTTTGACAGTGACTCGGAACGAGCTATATTGCTCGATAAGTATAACCTCCCAACAGATCGGGTCATCTCCAGTCATGACATGAGTATAAGCGCGACTCTGAAAGTCCAGACGAGGGGAAAGGGCGTTGACGTTGTCCTTGGCTCATCATCGAGCTTGTCTCTCGACGCTGTGCAGAATTGCATTGCCCGGTTCGGTCGGATAGTCCAGACTGGGGCTGCCAGTGCGCACACCGGCCAAACATGGAACGTGACATTCCTGGGGCAAAGCACAACGTACGCGTGCGTGGATGTGATGGAGGTGGCCGAATACAACGGCCACGTCTTTCGGGATGCGATGGAGAAGGGTGTTCAGATCTGTCACAGCACGAGGCAGGGCTTGCCTCCAGTCTGGCCCGTAGCGCAGTACCCGGTTTCGCAGATGGAAGAGGCGGTAAGGCAACGAATGCAGAAAGGCCATGCCACCAAAGTGGTAGTGCTCGTTGAGCCCGAGGACCTCGTGAATGTAAGTTACGCTCCCGTCATCGTCACCATTACATGACACTAACGGCCAGGCAGGTTATCACTCCACCGCAGCTGGTGTCGCTCGCTGAACCGAACGCGACATACCTGGTTGTTGGCGGGTCTGGTGGCCTTGGTCGGGTGATTGTATCCTGGATGATGGACAATGGAGCCAGGAACATACTCATCGTCTCTCGTAACGCCGATAAACATGCAGACGCGTTGGCACTTCTAGAGAGGGCCAAACGGGAGGGGCGCAATCTTCAGATTCAGAACTGCGATATTGCATCCGAGAAAGGCCTCATCGTGCTTCTCGAACGTGTGCGCGGATCCATGCCGCCCATCCGCGGAGTTGTGGATGCCGCCATGGTTCTTGAGGTGAGTACTAACAGGACTTCACGGTTTAGCAGGTTGCTAATGGCGTTGTTCAGGATTCGGTGTTTGAGCGCATGACGTACGACCAGTGGAAGCGCACTGTGCTTCCCAAGGTCGTTGGTACGACCAACTTGGACAAGCATCTACCTCCTGACATGGCTTTCTTCATCCTTTTGTCCTCGGTGACGGGCGTGGCGGGCCACCTCTCGCAGGCCAACTACTCGGCAGGCAACACGTTCCAAGATGCCTTTGCCCGCCATCGGGTGGCGAGAGGGAAGCCTGCCATCAGCATCGACCTCAGCGCCGTGACTGACGCGGGAGTCGTTACGGACGACGCCGCTGCCAAGAAGCGGATCGAGGCACTTGGGTCGAAATCGATTCCCGTCCAAGCCGTACTGAATGTGCTAGAGAAGGCCATCCAGCGGCGACCCGTCGCCCCCGAAGCAGCCCAGGTGATTGTCAACCTGAAGCCGTGGAGTGAGCTGGCACCCGACGCCACGGTGCGTCTGGACCGGCGTTTCGGTACTTTACGATTGGGACTGCGGCGCGCCGACGGGGCGTTGGCTGCTGGAGCCTTGGAATCGCAGAACCTGAGCCCATCGGTGATGCTTGCGCAGGCGCTCAGTCAGGCTCAGGCCAATGGCAAGGACGCGGCGGGAGAGATGGGCGAGGCTGTGGCGCGAGCACTGGCGACACGGCTATCGACCATTTTCAACATCAACGCTGACGAGATTGACTTGGGGCTGCCATTAACGACCTACGGAGTTGATTCACTCGTTGCGGTCGAGCTGCGGAACTGGCTGGCGGCGGCTGGCGGCGTCAAGATATCAATCTTCGAGATCCTGCAGGCTGCTTCATTACACGAGATTGCGGCTTTGGTCATGTCCAGAAGAGAGGCGAGGTGAGGCGCACATGAAAGGATGCAATACACCACACAGAGGACGATTCCTGGACACGCGACGGCCAAGGTTCTGTGTGCACTTAGTAACCCTCATTCTGTGGCTCCTTGATTGCCTTGCCCTAAGGGCCTAAGTGAGAAGGACAAATCTAGAGAAGCCAGACGTCAGGTCCAGCGACTGTTCGGCCCTTTCAAGTATCTCGCCCGTCTCCGAGAACAAGAAATAAATCGTCGCTGCGACAGTTGGGAACACCTGCGACTCACGCTGGATCCATCAATGCAAGACGACATAACGACTACAAGCAGGGAGTAGGTGGCTCACACGCGGTAATCAACATAGATTAGAACTATGAGCTTAAGTACCTAGGCGTAGGACTACAAGCAGTGACGCAATTGATACCATCCTGATGACATGTAGGAAGTCGCCCCTGTGAACTACGGCGATGTCGCATGCTCACCCAATATGATTCATTGGATGCATCTACGCGACCGTGACGAATAACATATCGTCCCTTTTCTTTGGCGAAACCATCAGCGCGCCTCCCACTTAGAGAAGCAATCCTGCGTGGATATTGCAATTCCTTCCATTCTAGCGATGACTAATCGATCAGCCGTATGAAGTATGAAGCCGTGTCTTGCTGCCATATCCGAGGCCAGCATATGTAATGGGTGCTTCGTTGACCCCACTCCATATCCTAATTGTTTCAGAGAGTCTTCATCCTTGATGTTCATCCAGAACACAGCCGAGTAGCTGTCCTTGTATAGTTTCGCATACGTAATAGCTAGCTGGGTCTTGCCGATCCCTCCAAGGCCGTTAACGACAACTGTCCGACGGCTGCCGTTGCTTCGGAGTTCCTCGCGCATTTCTGAAAGCTCTTGTTTTCTAGCCACGAAGTCTTCTCAATCAACACCAGTGGTATGGCGCTTATGCCACCGGCGCCAGCTATGTACCGACCAGCGGCGGTGTTGTCTTCTTCTGTCCCTACATCGATCTCCAAAGAGGCGCAAGCTTGATTGCCCATGGCAGCCATATCAACAACCAAGAGCAACGCCTAGGTATAGATAACAAGGACGATAATAATAATCATGTATTATTAGTACCGCGATGGCCAGGCAATCAAGATGACTGGCTCTAGCCACAGTCTTATTTATAAAGGGGCTTAAGCCAGAGATAAATGGTAGATATAACAATGGAGGCATATGACAAAGACACAAACAAGGGCAATATGACCCTGACTTGACATCGAGACGCCTAACTGTCTCGATTGAAACAAGCTGCGGCCTGGCCGCCATCCTCCAAACTGACGCTAAACTCCATCAAGTCTACTAGATCACTCTCCGTCGGTCAACCCGTCCCATCAAGACGATACAAAACCTGAACTCCATCAAGAACCTAGTGCGATACCTCTCGTTCGATGACGATCCCCTCCTAGAAACTACCACAGGTCATCCGCCGTCTGTACTGCTGGCTGTACCGTCGGCTGCGCAAGGATATTCGTCTTCCCCAGGTGAAAGACTTTGAGGAGCGTGGCGGATTTGAAGCTGGCCGAGGCGGTGTCCGTCCTATGCCTCCCGCTGATGGGCACCAGCTGGCTGACCTCACGGCATTGAAAGGACGAGGTGTATCCGTTTCGCACCCATACCGTTTCGCATAGTCGTTTCCGCATCATGCTCTTCGCTCATCCTCTTCTGCCCCTGGCTCTGCGCTTGGATACATGATGCCATGAGCCCCGTGCTGTCGGCCATGGTCAGACTCGCCTCACTGTTATATCCAGAACACCACGGGACACCTAGTCCCAGGGTCGCATCCAGCAGAGGATCCCAATCCCAGACAGAGTTGCAACCGTTATTCCACGTCATGGCAGCGCTGATATCTGGAATGTACGTGTCCGAAAAGCCCGTGGGAAAGCTGCCGTCATTGAAGATTGGAAGTGGCTTGGACCACAGGGGTAAAGGAGCGCTTGGGTTTCTATGCTGGCGAACTGGTCGGGAGTTTGGGGCTCTGGCTGTTCTTATGCAACAGCGCAGGTCGTCCTGGGGCTTTGTTCGGTGTGAAATGGAGGCACGTGTTGCTGCCGTGAAGTAATCATGCCGCCCGCCCCGGTCAACGAGCGTGAACGATACGCATGCTGCTGATAGTATTGCGATAATGGATCCAATTCTGTCAGGAACTGCCACGTAGTGCCAGGCGCTCCAGTCAGGGCTTTGCCATTTTCAATTCGACGCTGATAGACAGGAGCGAAAGTCCACATGATCACGGCCCGCTGCGTCCAGCATCCCTCACAGATTCTGCTACCGTCATTCTGAGCTGAACAGACTTCCTGGTACATGGTAACGTTCGATAAGAGTTACATGGCGCTTGGGACCCTGCCGCCCCTGACGTATGAGGGTGAGCATCCTGACGCGCTTCCGGTGCCTTGTGGGCTGTGCGCTTCTGGTCCTTTATATGCTTCGCAGCGATATGTTCGGCTAGACCAGCGAACGTCTCTGCCCAGTTGTCATCTGGGAACGGCACATGGATTGTATGGCACTGATCGCGATTAGTAGAGTGGGGCTGGGTGACTGGAGATGCGAAGGCTTCCACCCGCTCACCGTGGTCCCAAAATTTCGGCTCGGACTGGGAGATGTGCAGCTCTCTTGGTCCTGACACCGACGTTATAGATCTCCCGCTATGATCTTACAGCCGTCGCTGGAAAATGGCGAGGTCGATTATGCCTCAAAGCTCGGAGCCGTTAGGGAATGTAGAGCCGGCATATAGGTCCAGGGCGACTTCGAAATGGAACATATCACACGGTCCCACAACATGGCGCGATGCCCGACTGTCGGGCATAAGGGTGTCTTCAAGGGCCTCTATGAGTCGACGTCTTAGCTTTGGAAAGCGAGCGGCCCACTGGTGGGATATCTCTCCGATGGTCGACGACTCCTTCTGCCGAAATGCCTGAGAGTACTCGTGTAATAGTGTAGCAGGCCGACCACTTGCATGTTTCTCTTTGCCGCTAGGCGTTGGCCAACGCAGGACGATGGTGCTAGTCATGTTGGTGAAGTCTTTGGGTGAAACTTCTCAGAGACTCTGGGTCATTTACTTTGACTGCATACTACTAAAGTCAAACTACCAAGGGAGTCATTGAACTAGTCAATCTAGTCATTCGGTGAAAGCAGCGAAAGGCCATGGACATGTTGATCTATGAGTAATCTTCACAGCAAACAGGGAGAATCTCGTGGGAGATGATATGGCATATAATTGGCAGCAAGAGCACTGGTCTAGAAGGTAGCTACAGCCAAGCCCTAGGGTTAGAGCACGGCATTCTAGAAGCCCCTATAATCCGTGCCGTCAGAGACAGGATTCAGGGGCTACGGCCGTTAGACGTGTGGGCCCCCCGGCGAAGAAACGGAAGGATAGGTGTCGACTAGAGCTTTACAGCTGGTCGCCTTCTAGGATCGGGGTATAAGCTTCCCAGTTATCGATATATACAGAGCTGGCGGTAGAAGATGGCCAAGTCGCAAGACGCGAATGATGGATAGATGGGAAGAACGCGAAGCTTTGAATTTCAACAGGACTCCCGGCCTTTGATTCTTTCTGATTACACTTACCGACCTCATCTCTCAGGCCTTTGAGCCCTTCGACGCTTCACTGCAGCATTTCGGTATGTGAAAATTTTGCGTGCACTAACAGCGGCTGTTTTTGGCTGTAGAAGGAGAATACGGGAGATCCGGCTTAGAGACAGTCGACAACAGCTCAGTGACGACGACGGCCCCGAACCACGATACGAGAGAGCCCCGATGCCGAACATACGTCGATAGAAGGGGCTGACGAACGCGACCGTTCAAATCGCCGGTGAACCGCTACGGTGGGAGGAGCTCGTGATACGGTCGGCTAGACGGTGACCTATTGGCGGATGGGAGGTTGGAAGCTTCGTGTCAGCTCTACGGAGCCCCGGAATCAAGGATATCACAGATCAGGATAGATGTCGATACCAACCCTCACCCGGAGGAGGGGGGACACGATGAGAACCGCTGCTTAGATGCAGTGGCTGTTTACGAACGAGATCTGCTAGCTGGGCAGCTGTATGTATATATATAGTATGAGACCTAGCCTAGCACGCCTGCGCGCCCTTTTGGAGGCCCAGGGCCGCCGCTATGCGGCAGGCCCCCTGGCGTTAAATGCTACTACTACTACTACTACTACTACTACTACTACTGCAGCATTTCGGACCACCGACTACGACCCAGATATCACAGAGCACGAGCCCAAATGGCGGGGCCAACGGAAACTGATGGAATACTATGTGTGCCCTCGAGGTTAGATTTGCAGGTTATCGTGGGAAATAAGGAGTCACGCCCTTCTTCCCGTACAGTAAGGCTTGTATAGTAGCCCCTGAGATAGTCACCTGCACGCCAAATACCCCTAGAAGGGTCGGGCTCAGAGCCCCTACGGCGTTAAATATACTAAACTAAACTAAACTAGCCTCGTTAAACACAATTGTCAGATTCAAGCGAGTTCAGTGATTAGAGGGTGATTATTAGGGTATTGCATCCAGCGTGTTGTATCTGTTCTGTCTGTTGAGGTGCCCCTGCTCGGTTCCCAGTTTGGTGTTGGCCATCTCTGTGACGGCCTGCACAGACCTTCCCACATGACAAGCCGATACCTCCCAATGAGGGAAGGATCTGACTGGAGGATCCCCTTAAAGGGACTGTACCTAGCTTTCTCTCTCTTCCTTTCCTCCTTAGTCTTGATATTCTCGTCAATAGAGTAATAGCTGCTTGCTGCCGGCCATGTCCCAGCTCCTCAGTACGCTCGCCGTGACAGTGCTTAAATCGGCTTGTGGTATTAAATATAGATAAATAAAATAAACGGATTGTAATAAACGCGATTTAAACAATATAATTACTAACGAACGAAAGATAAAGGATTTAGATTTAAAACTAGTTCATTGTGTTTTAATACCTTTTTAAAGGATATAAAGAATATAAAGGATGCTACTCCCCTTGGACCCTCGTTTGCAAAGGTTGTAGAAATAAAGGCAATGAAAATGTGTGCCGAAAATCCGGCTTTAGGTTAGAGCTTTGGGAGCCTTTCTGCAGAAAATCTCATAATAAGAACCCTTCCCGAAAAACACCCAACTACTACGGTGGAGCGAAACACTGCTACAGAACGCGATCGATAATTTGCTGGTAGCCACAGAAGGTTATTCCCATCTAAAGTTATCCAGTCCCCATCGCTGCTAACACCATAGCAGCAGAGTCTTTGATCATCAGCAGGCAAGGTTTTATCAGATGCTGATGTCGTCATATGTTGTTGTGAACCATCAAGGGAGATAGCACCCGCATCGGTATGAAGAGAAAGGCCGTCGGGCGAGAACGCGACCGACCTGACCAATTTGCCGTGGCCCTCAAGCGTCTGCTGCAGTGCCCCTGTCTCGGCCGACCAGAGCCGGACCGTCTTGTCGTCTGACCCCGACGCCACGAGCCGCGAGTCGGGCGATAACGCAACCGAGCTGACCCAGTTGCCGTGGCCCTCAAGCGTCTGCTGCAGTGCCCCTGTCTCGGCCGACCAGAGCCGGACCGTCTTGTCGTGTGACCCCCAAGTCTAAACAGGTGTGTCGCAAAGAACTGGATTTGGGTGCCCGAGGCAGTTATCGTGAAGACACTACCTGGACGACAATATGGGGCGCATGGCAGTAGCTGAGGTCGACCGGGCAAAGCGGGAAGGAAGCCCAGGTGACATTGCGTCCATCAAGCAACAAGACTCAAAGCTGTCCCAGTTTGCAAACTTATTATAGGAGTAGAACATTAATGGTAGCCCATTCCGTCTGAAATAAATCGCAAAGAGCGATAGAAAGACAACGTACACATCGTGAACAGGCTTGGCGTACCGTTGGTAATGGTATCTCGGAGCTGGAGATGGCGGCGGGTGTTGATGATTAGGTTAGCCTTGCACAGACAGATCGGGCTAAGTTTTAGAGGACCCGCTTCACCCACTTGACATCCGTACCACCTACTCCTAAGCCCCAGGACCACCGGGGGCCTGAGGCGATCATGCGGGGGGCACCCCATCCAGCTGCTGCGGGGCTTGGTAGTGGGGGGTAGGTGTCCTGCCCCGCAATGACAGCACGTCCCTATGTCAAGCAGATCCCCCTACTTCCACCATTCCGCATCATCACAGTCAACTCCTCCCCCAACGCCCACACCCACACCCACGCGCCCATACACGCACAATCCAGTGCATCTACCACTACAGCAGAAGATGGCAGCCGAGACTGCGACCTCCGACCCGACCACCATGTCTGACATGGGGGCCCTCGTCAAGCTCTAGGAGTGCTTTGACACGAAGCCCAAGGTATGCACTATCCCTTGACGTTGCCTATCTTCATCCACACATAACGCCATTCGATACGAACTGACTTGTTATCAGATCAACTGGGAGAAGCTTGCCGCCAGAGCCGGCTTCAAGGACGCTGCTGCAGCCAGAGCTCACTACAACCCATTCCTCAAACCCGATTGGCTCGACACTTCCCTGACCGACCGAAAGGACCCCCACGATGCCGAGGGGAGTAGCATCCATCACCCAATGCCCCGTCGCGCCGGGGGACAGCATCACGTACCGCTTCCGGGCCGAACAGTACGGACACAGCTGGTACCACTCACACTTCGCGCTACAGGCTTGGAACGGCGTTTTCGGAGGAATCCTCATCCACGGCCCAGCCTCAGTGCCGTACGACGAAGATATGGGAATCTTGATGCTGGGCGATTGGTTCCACAACACCACGGATGCGTTATGGGGCTCGGCGTCGACCGGTCTGCCGCCCCGGGCACAGAACGGTCTTATCAACGGGACCAACGTCTATGGCGACAGCGGAAAGAGGTTCGAGACCAAGTTCACAGCCGGCAAGCGTCACCGCATCCGCCTTGTCAACACGGCCATCGACACGTTCTTTAAGTTTATGATCGACGACCACAAGATGACGGTTATCGCAGCCGATTTGGTACCCATCAAGCCTACACCACCAACGTCCTCATGTCTCCCTTGCCGGCCCGCCGCGCGTCAAAGAAGAGGGAGGGCAGCTACAGTTACCTGTACGATATGGAGGATGGCGAGGTGTGATGCGCATTCGGGAAATGCTCGCAGATCATACAGGCACGGATTGATAGGTAGATAGCCAAATTAGGAATGGCATACGATCATTTGGATCTGAGACGGGGCAAGAGAATACATTTGGGTTTCCCAGTGTGCTTATATGCATCACTTTCCCTATCTATTCGGTCGTTGTTCGCTCTCGATGCCAATGTGACAGACGTGCTCGAAGAGATCGCCAACGGCAACCTCTCGCTCCCTACTTGGAATCGTCTGTAGCTGCTGTTATAGAAGGTCGATGCCTAATGACGGCAGCAGACCGAATAAACCACCAGTCTAGAGTGCCGGACCAGGGGAATTGCACCCAGCGCTCTGACTGGCCCAGTGGTGGTAATGGTCCAGCATCCACAGTCACTCACTACCCGTCTCTTGCCTTGGCATCGCACAGCAGCCATGTGCAAATGCGTACTGCACACCCGAAGCGGGCTTCCCATCCAGTCCAGGCGGCACATGCCCAGGCAGGCTCGGTTGCCATCTTCGTAACGCACCATCATTCCACCAATGTAGCATCGGCTGTCTTTGCCCTGGCCGCGTTCAATACAAGGTGTGATCTCGACAATGCCATCCAAGGCGCAGGATGAGTAGTGATGGTAGGGACTAAGAGACCTCTCCAACACTGGAGCAGGGCATGGGTCAAACCGCAGTTGCGGCTGATCCAAAACGATGTCGAAAGAATTGCTTTGAGACTTGTGTAGGTCTGTGATATAGATGGTCGAAGGAGCGTTCAGCAACTTAAGCCTGAAATTAGACTGGCCATACAGCTGGTAAATGGTACCGTAAGGTCCAAACATGACTCTTCGTCCACGATTTGTAGCAAATTAGTAGCTATATGAGTAAAGAACTCAAAATAGTGGATAGAGTACCTACAGCCAAGGCAAAGGATGCAATAGACGTGTATAGTGCAGTGCCCGAGTATTGAGCCCTCGCAAAAATCGAGTCAATATGTTCCCCTTTATTCATTAAAAAATGGACCCAAACGTTGGCGTCGGATGGGCAGTCATAACTGTTTATCTATTGGTAGAAGTCCATCCTGGCACACGGCTTGTGCTCAAAAATCGAGATCACGTTGTTACCTATGCACTGTGCTGAGTAGCCGAGTACATCAGAAGCATTACATACAAAGCGTTGTAGGACGACACCGCGATAATCTATTTGTCTTGGACTGGGATGACCCAGGTGTATTAACTGAGTGATCTCGATGCCCGGCTCAGGTCGAAGGATTGCAGTTGAGTTTATAGCAAAGCAATCAGCATCCAAGGGCGAGATCTGCCGAACTTTGAGGCCCTGCGCAATTATTTAGTACATTTAAATGGCGACGTTATTATTAAAAGCTCACATCGTGTTTAACCCGTACGTGTGTACAGGACAGGGGGATCCGACACCACCACAGATCGCGTACATCACCAAGAAGTGACGAATCATCCGAGTCGAAGTGTAAGACCCTGACGCCGAAATGGTCACCGCCGATGTTAAGCCTGCGTTTTTGTGGGAAGCTTTGGTTTCCAACTGGCAAGAAGCCAAGTACTGGGGGATTGTACAGTTTCGAAATATACCGATTGCCCTCTATTATTCTGTACTCGATGCGGATATCCATGGAGAGGTTCAGGATTTTCTCTGACATGGCGACCAGTGTGGCAGCAATCTGCCCTGCTTTGGATGCAGAGTATTCGCGCACGAGATAGCCAGAAATCATGCACCACACTTCGGGGGGGAGAGTCCTAGGCCAATCTTGTTGTTGAAGCCTGCAGGACAGCTCCTGGTCCAGGATATTCCATCTTGTATTTATCCAAGGCACAGACGGGGTGAATAGATACCTCATCGCAGGCCAGAAATTATTGCTTAACTGAAAAGCAGCAACTTGGCGACACTTTTGATGGAAGCCAGGAGCGGTCTCGCAGTCCGGTAAATTTACAGAACCTGTCTCGACAATCAGGTTTCCTTCTCTATATCGAGAGCTCGAACCTCTATCGTCAAGTCGGAAGTGTATAGTCGAGTTGTCCATTTCCACTGTGCATCATCAGAAAACTTGATATGTGCAAACGGTCAAGAATTAGGTACCTGTCACAAGATCTCGATCTTGAAGATAAAAGTGACAAAGCCAGCATAGCTGCCCGTCGAGGAACCGACTTATGATAGGTTCCTCGTCCTCGTCCGAAGTTGACATTGTGATCGAGGTAGGTGTAAGAAAGGTCGATCAAATTGGGTTGCTCGTGGTAGATGTGGAAACGATCCATTGATTAAGTTGCTGGTTATGCTTTTACATACTGCACTGTTGCTAGGTCTGCGTGTCTGCTCCATCGGCTACCTGCCGACCCATGACACGTTGGAATACGTGACCAACCAATAGAAGAACATGATTGCAGCTAGCCTCGTCCTGAGACTCTTGCTCACGGGTAGGAGAATTACGACGAGGAGCAGAAAATGTCGGGGTTCTTGGCCACGTACACGTGCCTCTCAGCTGTTAGGTACCGAACACCATCCTTCCTTTGCCACTTATCTCTGGTCGAGGTCACATGCCGATCCTTGTAATCAAGGTATGTGTACTCTGTAGCCCTCGACCTATGTCCATCTGGGTGGGGCTGAATACCCCGCCTCCTGGCTCGCCGGCATGGGGCCCTCTTGGTAGCCTGCAGCAGCTGGAGGCAGTGCTCTGGGTGGCAGGGTATTCAACCTGACCTTCCCCAAGTGAACGTAGTTGCTCAAATCGCGAGGGCAATGCTCGCATAGGAAGAGCAAAATGGACGATAAGCGTAACGCTGTCGACTTTCTCAATGCCAATAGCAAAGAACTAAAGCTTGAATACGTGCCCAATGGCAAGACCCAGCAATCACCGTTAGCAGACCCCTACGCCGATGCGTACGACATCGCAAGCCGATGTCGCGAGTGGACCTCTTTTCAATCGTCGTCGGCGCTCTTAGCGCACTTAATGCCAGGACACTTCTCTACCCCTTGGAGAGGCGCAAGCCTCGTATGGCCAGAGCGGATTGCCTACACGGAGAAGACGGTCGAGATGGTATACGTGCAGACCCTAGTTAGACGCATCAACATCGTCATGAACGTGCTGGGACGCGCCACGACCATCATCGGTACCCCCGGGTCTTTCCCCAGCATGGCTATCGATTTCGAAGGAGCTGAAACGACCATCAAGCCCGACTGGCTCGTCGTGCGCGGTGTCTCGCCCGAGGAGTCGCCGCCCGACGTGCCGACACTGCAAAACAAGCACGTCTGTGCCGTGGGAGACACCAAACTCCTCCATCCGGACAGCGTCACGGCTGAGCGTATGGCGCAGGACATCCTGCCGGGAACGAGCACATGCCATAAGGCGTTCATCGGGCAGGTGGTCCACTACTGCATAAACCTAGGGGTACGGTTCGGGTTTGTGCTAACCAACACGGAGCTGGTGGTGATGCAGGTCCTGACAGAGGACAGCAACATGCGGGATCGGCCCGTCTCGACACGGTCCAGGGCCCTGCGTGTGCCCTCTCCCGCAAGCGACATAAGGCTCCCTGGTTCAGACATATACTCGTCTCCGCAGGGACGGGGAATTTGGCAGTGGCGCAACTTCACGGACGGCGATCACGATATCCCTGATGCACCATTGACACCAATGCACCAGCAATCATTAGGGTTTCGGGCTAGAGGGGCTCGGATGAGCACACCAGCATCAGACTCGGTGGTGGAACCTGAGGAGGAGTCGCCCGCAGCCGCCCGGGCAAATCGTCGACCGCCAGCGGTATTTAGTAGCAAGGCCAAAAACGCTGACAGTGATATGGGTCACATGCAGACGACATGCTTACCGTTCTCTTCGCCGTCGCAGTCGTCGCCGCCGGCGCCATCGTCGCTTCCTCTGGGACTAGACTCGGCATATCCCTCATCATCACAGCCATCTTTGTACGCACCCGAGAGACGGGATTGTGAAATCTCCAACGTCCTGGTTCGGAGTTTCCCCATGGACTACGATACTGACAATCCGGCAAGCAGCAATCCTTATCGGGCACTCGCAGTCCTCGTTGAGCTGGCTACCCGAGGCAAGGAGCATGGGGTGTCGAGCTTGGATTCGCGTAAATTATGGTTCGATTAGGGGCGATTGGGCGCACCTGCTGTTGTTAGATGCAAGCGAGTCCAGATTATTGGGTTTGTCAAGTGTGTTGTATTGTTCTTCTGCTTCACCCTTGCAGCGTGTAGAAATTGATGATCTATCTTCTGGGTGGGTCAGATGCCCTGTGCGTCTCTGCCCCACTGGAGATCTTCCGGTGTCTATTTCCAGCTCCCATTCAACAGCTGTTTGGAGCTTATCGAAAAGTCTACGTGGAAGTACACGTGTGCGCACTGTGCTTACACTGTACCTGTACCCAGCTCTAAGCCTTAACGCCACACAGCCACATGTTTACGTCGTCGCGTCGTGGTTTCTCCAGGCCAACGTGTTTACTTGCTGTTTCCTTCACCTTCACCTTCACCCTCACTTTTCCCGTTCCTGCTACTGTCACTGTCGCCCGCAGCATTACGAACTAGCACTGATACCTCCATTGCAAGTATTTCTCGCCGTCGTCGCCAATAGGGCCAGCAAACAGTGCTGACGACGAAATATTAGTCCATCCGCGACCAACGAACGATGAAGTACCTTCCGTATAGCTCCCACTTGACAATTTGCCATATCGCATAAGCCCATGTCATTACCCCTTCGGAAGCGATCGCCTCTAGGCGAAGTGCCGATAAACAGGCGCGTCCAGCGACTACGTCCTCAATCAGGCGCAGGTGTTTCGAAGCCATCATCATCTCAGCAGCAGCCGCAGCGGCTGCGCCGGAACAGACGGGGCGACAGAATACTACACTCTAGTCAACAATCACTTGTGCAGCAGCGGCCGGCGAAACGGGAGAAGCAAGCCACCCAGGCCTGGAAGACCATCCAAGCCGACTGTCCAGAACTGTTCCAGTGCTTGCTGTCCGTTCTCCTTGCACGTCATGATCGACCAGCAAATGCGTGTACAGGTACAGGTACAGAAGAAATGAAAGAGCACCAAATGATGATGGATTGCCAATCTTTGAACCACGGAAGAGACCTGAAGACGGACGACGAGGACAAAAACGCAGACGCCAAAATGGGTGCTCCCCTTCAACGTCGCCTGCCTCCTATAATATCCTATGACGAGAACTCAACTACTATCTGCCTTGGCCGGCCCAGGATCTCTCCAACATCCTTAGCCGACATTGCCATGCATCTTCCCACCGTACAGCTGTCCCTCTTGAAGGCCGACCTTATTCGCCTCAACTTCGCCTTGCATTGTCGGGGACTATACATTCCCAACATAACCCCATCATTGGTGTTAGTAGCTCAGAAGCTCCCTAATCAGGACTATGCCTGCTTTGTTCACCAACTCGATTGTGTCAAACTCAAGATGGACAGCAAGCCGGAGGGAGTAAGTGAGAAGGACAAATGTAGAGAAGCCAGACTTCAGGTCCAGCGACTGTTCGGCCCTTTCGAGTTTCTCGCCCGTCTCCGAGAACGAGAAATAAATCGTCGCTGCGACAGTGGGGAACACCTGCGACTCACGCTGGATCCATCAATGCAACACGACTTGACGACTACAAGCAGGGAGCTTATCGGCTACAGCCCCAGAGCAGATGATATGCTTCTCCGCGGCCTGGGTAACCCTATACCTTCACTAGCTGTTCTTCTTGTCACTCGCTATCTAGGGAGGCTCCCACCACGCTTCATCCCTCTATCGCCCAACACGCAAACTCACAGCTTACTGCTAGACCTCCTGGATTTTGTCGAGCGCGCCACGCCACAGTCCTTTCCCGACGCTGACGTCAATGATGATTACAACGACGACCTGGCCAGCCTTGCCATTATACGCACTGCCATCCTCGTCTGGCTCACGGCCGATCGAACGCCGCCCACGGCTTCCCGACACATCCTAGCGCCCTACACATGTCCACCATGCTACCCTCTCACTGGCTTCCCATCGGGCTGTGCCAGGGCTCATGAAAACAGCAGTCGGTCTTCTTTCAGAGGTCATCGGCCGAACGAAAATCTAGACGGATCCGAGCCCCAATCATTTGCACCAGCTATGAGACAAGACAAGCAGACGGAGAGAGAGAGAGCTGGACAAGATACTGACAGCTTGAGCAAAGAATCCGTCTCGATCGTGGGCTTCCTCCTATCAACCAGACCGCCAAATCGAGATCCGGAGGCACTAGCCCAAGCTGCTGCGGATGCACGCGCAGCATTGATGCGGCATATACCTATGCGTCATGGAACGGCTGTTGTCCCGTCACAAGTATATTGGTTCTTTTAAGAGGAAAGGGTACCGAGAGTGCAAAGATAGTCAGGCTACCTGACTCAGGAGGTCACATGGACGAGCCACGTCGAGCAGAGAGTTGATGCTAGTTCGGAGTTGTGTGTCCAAATGTGAAAAAGAAGGCTTCCTAGGGACTCTGTCCGCCACTTCACCACTACGGCAGTTCGGGGCAGGGCTTATGTGGAATTCCAGCTTTTGTCGGTGGCAGTCTAAGCCCGACTACGGCAAGGGAGCCATGATAGACAACGTACTCGTAAGGCGATCCTATCCAAAGCCCGTGTGACGGCGGCATGCGAGCACGTACGAGGTTGTATGTAGAACGGTTGGTTGTACTTTCGCTGCCCGGCTGGGCTGAGTTGAGTATGGACATGGTCATGACCATGGCGCCCACAGGGAGCCGTGGCCGTGGAGAACCTTGAGAGTGGCGTCTTGTTGTTTTTATCAGCTTGCTTCCAGCCTTGGACTAATATATCTATCCATATGTATTGCTCTCTTTCTCATTCCCGCTATAGCTGGCTCTGCAGCGTCGAAGCCCAATAAACCTACCCACAGTAGTTGCGAGCCTCCGTTGACCAAGGTGAGACAGGCCACGTGTGCGCTCATGTAACAATGTAGCTAGCTAGCCCTGTGGATTGCATATTTCTTCTACCTCCAAACTAGGTCAGCTCGAGGCAGATGATCGGAGGAAAACATGATATAAGATAATTTGAGCTGAGCCAGTGTCTTGGCCAAATACTGCCAGCGAAGTATATCGATACGACAGGAGATGAGTATATTGATGATCCCGGAGAAAAGAACTTGGATACCTCTGCTTCCACCCTGTAATCGCCCTTCCAGTCCTCGGCTGGAGAAACAAGTCTGATACGCCGCCTTGTTGGTTCTTGCGCTGAGTCCTCTGGACGGCGCCCGTCTTGGCAATACGCGCTGGTGTTACGAACCAACACACCACAGGCCCATTGACAGGCCAAGAAGAGAGGCGGCCTGCAGGAAGACCACCTAGGATAAGGGTACCATAGGGAACAAACGCCGATCACGTGACCAGGGAAGGGAGGTCACGTAACCAGACTTCTGCTCACTCTTGCTCACGCGAGCAACGGTGAGCAAGAAGGACTGCTCACTCCTGCTTACGCGAGCAGCAGTGAGCAGAACCTTATCAGTGAGGAAGAGATTGGATATATAAGGATGAACATTTCCTAGCTAGCACAGATAGACAGTCTCTACCTCAGTGATCAATCTAAGCATCTTAGCCAACACTAAGGTGGGAGAAACCTCCTGACGACTCGACTATTCAGTGAACCCCAGTTCAGACCAAGCCCCAGCATCTGAGTGTCTTCTAGTTGACAGAAGCCTCTGTTGTCTTTTGTGTTAACTTACCTCAGAACATAAACCCTATAGAACCCTTTAGCCTTATAGGTTAGACGGCTCGTCACAGACTGTCCCTCAACTGTTCCCTCATCATTTCTTAGTCTGAACCTGGACAGAAGTGATACCTTTAAAGCAAACGCAGTAATTTGCCAACTTGAGTGCGGCGAGTTCAGCAACTGCTTCAGGCTTTTACAGACAGAGATCTGTCCTGAGAAGTTGCGTGTTGTATATTTCGTATAGAGTCAGGTGGGTTGACGTGTTAGACTGTTTTTTTCATTATCTAGGAGCGAAAATGTCTCCGTGGCCGTGGTTTGGTTGAAGGCAAGAAGGGCGTTATCTGGCATCTTGACCTGTCATTCTAGGTCTACCTGTATCGAGATGGGTACAAACCGTATTCTTTCAGCAGGGTACGTAATTTGAAGACCCTCTCGTTCGTAATTATTTCGTCTAGCGGAGGCTCTTCATCTCTTCTGCCATGTCTCAGGCCAAGACGATCTGAAGATGGCGGATCAAGGTCTAGTGTAAGTCCGGCCTGGTACATGAGATGGTCCAGTTCGGCGATCTCGTCTTTAATAAAACGGAGGTTGAGAAGATGGGTGGTTTTAAACCGGCGAAATCCATGAAGAGTAATGTTGTCGCTTTCTGTCGCGTTTTGCCAATGCTTGATAAACTTTTGGCTTAGGGTATTGGGATACTGTGACGGTAATGCCAATTCTTTGATATCAAAACGTCGTCGAGATGATGCAAGTATGCTGATTTGCAACCACGTGTGTTGGCAAAGAAGGTAAAGTGCACGGTAACATCAGGAATAGATCTGACGTGAAATAGTCCAATATGTTAGATCCATGCGATTCCAGCCTGCAAACCATCTATACCAAGACCCACATGTATGATTAGTGTTGGAACAGGCTTGAACGATCAATTATAATACTCGAGTATGGGGTCAAGGTTATGATGTTGCTGATGGTTGGATTGGGAGGTCTAGCTAAACCTAACGGTCTGGCTAAGTGACCTCGCAATCCGGTATCTAATGTTGGCAGTGTGGTGTTGCCGTGAGCAATCATGTTGTTGTTGTGCTACTGCTACAGCTGACAGCTACGCGGAAGGCCTGATCTAGCTACAGGGCACGGACCACGTGACCTCCAACACACCCCCTCAGGCCTGGAGCCGTCGAGATCGGTGAAAGTCATGGAATTCCTCTACCGGAAGACGTGGACCGGCTATTCAGATGCAAGTTCCCATGTGTTCCTCCACCAGTTTCCATATGTCCTTGAGACCTTTCCTTCACCCCCTCAGAAGTACCGTATTCCTTCAGAATCGACGTGAATTTACCATAGACAGGGGCCAAGGTTCAGTTGTCGGACAAACTTCGCGTGGATTTCAGGCGTTAAAGGCTTGGTCAAGCCGTCAGCGGCCATATCATGTGTAGAAACATGTCTGATCTCGAAATCTCCCTGTGTGATATGGTCGATTATCCACTTGTATCGCAGATCGATGTGTCGAGTGCGTGCGGTATTGTACGGGTTGAGAACTGTAGACATGGCATTGAGTGAGTCTGTGAATAAGACGATGACTGTCTTTTGAGGACATCCAGCTTCAGCTAGCATACGTCTGATCACGCACGCGGCTAAGCCGGCAGGAGTCAGGTTGATGAATTCTGCTTCAGTAGTACTCAAGGCTACTATCGGTTGCCTTTTTGATTTCCAGAGGACAGGAGCGCCGCAGAGAAAGACAATGTAACCTCCAGTTGAAGCTCGGCTTCCCAGATTGTCAGCGAGTGCGGCATCAGCCCACACATTGAGTTTGAGGTTGGAAATGGGATACATTCTGCCGAGGGTGACACCAAAGTCAGAAGTTCCAGCAAGTATCGCCAAAGGTAGCGAATAATATCAATATAAATTTGACCAAAGTTGGAGTTAGCCAGAGAGCTTATTGACAGTGTAAGTGATATCTGGTCTAGTACCAGATGAGAGGTAGTTCAGAGAACCTGTATATTTGAGATACTTTTTCTTTCTCTTGAGATCAAGGATAGGTTCCCACTTGGAAGGGATCTTAGCTTTGAGGAGCCAAGGAGTAGTGACAGGCTTGACGTCAGGATCAGCATATTTCAAGAGAATCTTCTTGCAGTACTTTTCTTGGCACAGGAAGATCTGGTTGTGGTTGAGATTGCGTATGACACGATAGCCGAGGAATTCTGATACCTCGCCGAGATTCTTGAGGTCAAAGAATGCTTCAAGTTGGTAGACGACCAGATCGCCATCAGCTTTAGCCTTGGCTGCGATCAGAATGTCATCAACATATATGATCAAGAGGATGCCAAGTTTCTCGTCCTTGAATATGCAGAGATCTGTATGGAACGGTTTAAAACCGATGGTTTTCAGCTTGCTGGATAGTTCTTCAAACCACCAGGCTGAAGCCATTCGGTGTCCGTAGAGAGCCTGGTTGAGTTTCCAAACACGTTCAGTGCCGTCGGAATAGCCAGGTGGTTGGCGGCAGTAGACATGTACGCCCTGCGGAATCGGAGCATGTAAAAATGCCGTGACAATATCATGTTGAGAATAGTAAAGACCTTGTACAGCAACAAGTGTAAAGAACACTTTGACTGACATTGAGCTAGCAATAGCAGCATAGAGCTCGTGAATTGCCCAGTTATATATAGCCTTCTTTAAAATTGCCACATATAACCAGACGGGCTCTGTTCCGAAGAAAGTCTCCATTTGGGGCAAATTTCTGATCAGGAACCCATTTGACCGGTAATGCTCGTTGACCACGAGGGAGATATACCAGGTCGAAGGCCTTGCGAGTCTCAAGACTGTCCATCTGTGCGTCGAAAGCAGGTTTCCAAGCATCCCAGAGTTCTGGCCAGCTCTGGGCTTCTTTGAAGCTTTTCACAGGAGCTGGTGATATGATCTTCTCGATCTTCAATGTTGAGAAGCTGTATTCAGGTACAGGAGTAATAAGCTCGTCAAGTGAGATATGAGACGCCTTGTCAAAAGTGGTTTGATTCTCTGGAGAGAGAGTAAGCATTGCTTTCCACTTTGACTTGAGATTAGGCTGTTTATAGTTCACTCCTTTGGTTGTTGCACGCTTGGGACGTCTAGTTCGGGAGGTAAGGCCGGTTGGAAGGTTGTTACTGACAGATGGGAAACGTTAGACAGTGAGTCTCATACCACTGCTGCGTTCCCAGGAAGTGAAAGGAGGCATTGAGCCCCTACGACGCTATGCCCTCCTTTCTCAGCTTCCAACCTACTCGGCTCGTCAGCCCCTATCATCAAGGATAGCGAACCCAGCCAAGACCGTGAACCCGGCTTGTATACTGCAAAGTTTGAAAAGGAGGATGGCCTTCACAGCCAAGATTCTCCCATTGCAAGGACATAAATGGGCTTTGTTCCAGGATCAGACCATAAGACCCTGCTGAAAACAATACCCGGCAGAGCCAAATAGGCTTTGAAACAATACAGCTGTCAAGGCTTAGACGAACAAGGATTGGCCGGTGAGTAGATTGACACTGATATTGCTATCCTATGCACTAGTGGTAGAGTACAAGACGAGAGACGGAGAGAAAAAAGAGGAAACAAGCAAAGAGATGTTTCACGAGCCAACTACATAGAATCTCGGACAGAGATTCCATCTCTTTCCACGATGTTCTACGCGTGGTTCCAAACTATTCCAGATCGTTCCATGACAACAGCCATACGTGTTTTTAGAGCAGTGGGACGTGGAGATGCGCCAAGCCGTCTTCGACAGGCTCGAGTCCGTAATGGGCACGTCTTCCTTGATGCCGACTGCTAAGTCTTTTAACATATTGAGGACTGCTGCGAACAATAAAACGTCGTCCACGTGGCTTGCAACCATCACGCCAGTCTTCCGTATAGGCACGCGGCAAAGAAGTCGATCTTATAATGAACCGCCCACTTGCTGACAGTAATAATTCTTCAGATCGAGCGAAGTCGCGACGGCGAGTTACAAGGCCAGCAGCTTCTAATCGACTGGAAACTCTCGTATTGCTAATATAAACAACTTTTTCGTTTAATTGAGAAGTCATACGGTCTGCAACCGCCAACGGGTAAGTGTTGGCAAGACAGGCAGCGCCTTTAAGCAACGACAGAGCTGCACATAACGTACATAAACATAACATGCTCCTCTGGTAGTCTCCCATTAGATGGAATAGACAAGAACACATGAAATTCTCACATATGGTAGCAAATTGCTGTTATTCTCTCTCACTTCCTATCATTCGTTCTCTCTTTATTTCAGCTTGACCAGACACCCACAGGGCAAATAGGCGTGACAGGCAGACCTGTAAGGCCTCGGTCTATACCAGGGCCGAAAAGTAGTCACTTGTTTCAGCAAAGTTTTGAAAAGAAGTTTGACGGCTTAGGTAGGATCAACCCTCGCACCATGCTCTCTCCCCCTTAACGAGTACCCCATAGGATACAGGACAAGCCCAGCTAGGTCTCCAGCGGACAAATGACAAGCCTTCAGCGCAATCAAGGCCTCGTCGCACAAAGCGCTTAGGAGCCACGTCCCCCCTGTATGTGACACAGTGTTGCAAGGTCTGGCCTGGCTGCCCGAGTGGCCATTAGCCTGACTTGCAGGCTCCCTGCATCCGTGATTAGGAATAGACCAGCGCATGTCATTCCACAGAGGCGTGACAGGTCACATAAATTCGCCTGATGTGTCGACAGTAGAGTGGATCAGGCTCCTCATTTCGCCCAGGCTGTGTGAAAAGCTGTTCAGCTTATCATGTTGGACCGCACTTGGTCCTGAAGCAGGCATACTCAGGCATTCTTACGCCGCCCCGATCACTAGATTGACATGTTGCAATGGCGATGCACCTACCCAACAAGGTAGACTGGCGATCTGAGCCTAGTCCGCCAGCATAGCGTGTGAAGGCAGTGAAACCAGACGAGGTAAGTGAGGCTGCATGGGTAGATGGATGGATGTGCCATCACGAGCGAGTCATCGTACTACATGCAGCGAAAAGAGCTTGTGTGCGTCGCCCTTGGCGGAGTGCGAACAGGGAATGTCACACGCGTGCCAAATGGACAGGCGGAACAGGATCCGAGAGGAGGGGGCGTAGATCCCGTCTCAACTATATGAGATGCTTTCGCCTGAGCCGGGTCGTTATCAAGCATTGTAACACTGTGACAAGATCCATACATAGGGAGATCCCCGGTTGGATGCCATGGGTAGGTCATGGATGACTCAAGTCTGATGAGCAAAGAATACCATTGGAGATCAACTATCGATCCAACAGCTACTTAGGTACCTTGATGTATGCATAGCCTAAAGCCACCGGGCTGTAGCATATCGGACTAACGGATGCATACTATCCATAGCTTTGATTCTCAGGCTGAACCGCATGGTTTGTACCGTTGGTAGGCCTGATTCTTTGAAGAGTACCCTTTTTGGTATGGTTCTCTAAACCGGGAGAATCCATCTGATAGCCTCTGTAAGGACTCTTTTGAGGTTGTCTGAGTGGCCGTTCTGGCGGGTGCTCACGTCGCGGGCCTGGCCGTTTCCTGCTCTCTTGTAGTCCCCGGCCCCCCAGACCTCTGACCAATCAGAACCTAGGTATCAAGAAGTATACTCATACACAGTAACTAAAAGAGACCTTATATCTTTTAAGAGGAGTACTTTACACAGACTTCTAGCGGCCAGATCTGGACATGGCGACTTTGCCAGATATCATGAACGCTTTGGGCATACAGACTCGAATGACTATTGCAATTGTGGTGAGAACCAGGCTATGATAAGAATCGCGGCAAAACCATCAGCCTCCAAAAACGGTGTTAGGGAGATTGCAGACACCCTTATCCACTCCACGGAATTACAGTCTTGACAGAAACCTTAGTGCAGTCAGTCTTGATTAGCTTGCATGATGGAATTATGGTCACCATAGGTCTCATGCTATATTGGAAGCGAAGTAATCGTCTCGGGAGGCGCCTACCGGTCACTTGTTAAAGGATCTCTTCGAGTTCAGACTGTTCGAAATAGACCCTTAATGGTGGACTTGAGGAGCTGCTCATCCTTCCTTTCACATGTGTACAAGTTGCCAAGATTTCTAAAGAATCCTCCGGCCCTTTTTCGCATATTTACGAGTTGCCTCGGAGGGTAGGAGGCCTGAAGAGCTCCATAGGTCCTGATCATCGGCAGCGGCCTTTATCCATTGCTGTAACCTTCGAGGGGGACCTGGCGCCTGGGGATTTGCGTCGTGGAACTCTTTGACGCGTATAGCCGAGCCTCTGAAGTTAGCTGCTGGATACCACATCGGGTCAGGGTCATGGCCTGTCCATTCAGCCTGGTACTCCAGCTTGCCCCGGGTTAGGCGGGAGGACAGAATTTTGTTAACTTCCCACTCGGGGACCCCAACCACGTCGAGGGGAGGCGGTGGAGGGATCACCTGACCTGGGACAGGGTCATTTGGTGACCGTACTAAGCGGCTTGTGTTAATCACCCGATGAGCGTTTACCCCAGGGGGCATGTCAATTTCAAAGGCGTCCTTGTTAACCTGCTTAACAACCCGATATGGTCCCATGTAAGGGTTGTCCAACCCATCGTGTGGGCTGTCAGTACGCCACGCTCCTTTTTGTACGTATCTCACGTTGCTCCAGCTGTGCTGGGAGCAACATTCGTGGTCTTCAGAGAAGGTGTGAGATTTCAAAGTATTCTATTGAAGGAGAGAAACCAGGAATAGTTCCTGGAGGGTAGAAGGCCCTTATATATGAGGAATACAAAAAAAAAAAAAATATTTGGACAAAATAGCAGTCCTAGCACAAAGAACATATATATAGGGATTTAGTAATATTGGTGACGTTGAGACGTCATGGTGAACCAGAATCCCTAGATTCCAACAGTGGGTTGCTTCGGGCCGGTTTCATCTTGTGTCCGTTCTCCGACGATCTTGGTTTTGAGCTTGGGGAACTCCTTGATGAGGTCGATGAGAAGCTCGCGGACACGCAGCTTCAAGGCGTCCATGCCGGCCTTTCTGGTCGAGTTCACGACGAACCAAGGGTCCTTGGCAAAGAAAATTCGCTCATCTGCCTGCCCCTGCTTAAGGCTTTTGTTCGCATCATCCGGACCTCGGTTCTTGACGATGTAGTAGCCTAGGGTGAGGTCGCTTCTCTTGCCCATGACATGGTCGATTGCGACCTATTGCGTTGTCCGCTCGATTGCCAGATCAGGCTTGGTGAGAACAGCCATGGTTCTTATCAAGGTGGGATCAGCCTTCTTGGCCAGCTTCAAGATCTCTTGCGTGGCAGGGTTAACGTTGCTAGGTATAATCGCCAGAATACTGCAAGTTAAATGATTAGAGCAGGAAACCTCAAGATGATATGGATGAGTACTCATATCGTTCTTGAATTCTTCACTAGTTTGATGCGTGCACTTTAGCACTGATTATGAGACCACTTGCCCAGGATCACTTACTGTACTTGTTAACCATGTTCATGACAAGCTCGATGTCGCTTTCCGTGGTTACGCCTATAATATACAAGATCAGTCAGTACATCTTCACAGCAAAATGCCTTAGGCCAGTGACTGACTGTCAGTTTCCTTTCGAAATATATCAGGAACGTCAATCGCGGTAAAGTGCTCCTCCTAGGCCATGTCAGGATTTAAATAAAGGCAAAGTCGACTTGTATTAGTTCTTATGTGGGGGCCGAGCTTCTCGATCTTGAGAACATGCTCGCTGAATGCCGGGAGCCTGGTGCCGTTCGGTAAAGTAGTGTTCGTGGCAGTTTGGATTCCCATGGCCTCATTTGCCTAAAGAGTGTCAGGAAAGGCTTGATTCGCGGAGAGCGACACAGGTAACATACCTCCTTGAACAGTTTAACAAGGTTCTTGGGACACATCTCAGTCAAGGTGCGCTGGAAAGTCTTGACGCGTTGCTGTTCCTGGGGCGGCGCATCCAAGTTCGGCATGATGGACACCATGATGCTCTCCTCGTCCTCGCAGCGGCAGGTGATTTGGGTGGCATAGCGTGTGCAGAGCTTTGCATCGCGGGAAAGGGCGAAGCCCGTCAGTCCCTCGAGCACCGAACTCTTGCCCGAGGACTGGTCTCCGACGACGACGAGCTAGGTAGCGATAATTAATAGAGATCTATCAGTAAGGTGTGATCGAATATACCTGAGGAAGGGCGGCAGTAGTACTCATGTTCGTTATTCATATAATGAATATGGCAAGGGAAAAGAATTAGAAAAGAACAGGATGCAAAAACAGAACTGATGGTTAAGATTGTGAAGTGCAAGAGTCAAGCTCCAAAGTGGTCAGCCTTGAGAGATGGTCTCGGACTCAGATGCAGATGCAGAAACAGGAGAGTGGAGGTAAGTCAAGTTAAATACCTGAGAGGTTTGGTACTTGACCAGGCATACTCGTCAAATGATCTCTCAACATAAGTAAAAAAACCAGTCCAACTTCAAAACGGGTTCAGGCTGGTACAAAACGGCACTGGCCATCCCACAGCCCCGTGAACGCATTCAATTGACCCTTAACGAGACAGGCGGCTGGCCCTTGTCTTGCGCTGCAGGAACCCTTGAGGGAGGCAAGTGGTTAAAACAACCCATTTGCACAAGCAGCTGGCATAGGTACACTAACCCCACACAAGTCTCCGTACTGCCCCCATATTTCCACTAAAACGCTATGTTTTTAGATTTAAATAAAACAACAATGGTATTAAAAATAAACAAACCACTTTAATAGACTTATGTTTAAATCGAATAGCGAATATAATATCAAATTTCACGGACTTCTTTTACTTACATTTAAGGAGTAAATTAATATATACTAAAAGTAAATTTTGAAATTTTATAAATGTATTAAAATATTAAATCTTATAAAATTAATCATAAAGGTAAAACCTTGAATTAAAGTTTTATATATTTAATAATAGAAGATTAAAGCTTATAAAGGTTATAATTAATAACAAATAGTTTACTATGTTAAAATAAAAACTTTTTGAATTTTAATCATTAAAGGCTATAATTTATATGCTATTTTGTAATATTATTAAAAATAAATAAAATTCCATTTCAAATCATTTTATTTTGTTAAACCTCTTTATAAACTTCTTAAAAGCTTTAAGCTATTATAAAACTTTTTCTTATATTTAATAGAATGGTTATAATACCAGGTATTAAAATATTAACCCTTCATATTGTGACGGCCTGCACAGACCTTCCCACATGATAAGCCGATACCTCCCAATAAGGGAAGGATCTGACTGGAGGATCCCCTTAAAGGACCAGCTTCCAGCTGTACCTAGCTTTCTCTCTCTTCCTTTCCTCTCTAGTCTTGATATTCTCGTCAATAGAGTAATAGCTGCTTGCTGCCGGCCATGTCCCAGCTCCTCAGTACGCTCGCCGTGACATTTATCTCTAAGATATCAATTTTTTTTGAATAAACCATGTTAATATTCCAGTAAATTAACTATAAGTACTATAAGTACTTAAGTTGTATCTATTTTACTCGATTCACTATTATAGCGTAAAGTTGTGAGCCAAGCATCCAATTCCCTTCTTTCTTGGGCTTCTTGCTGAACCGAAGCGCGTAGAATGGACCACAGAGGTCGTTTGGATGCAAGGCGCCTGCCCATCCTGGCTGCTCGCACGGAGTGAACTCGAACTCTCTGTTCCACGCGAGAATTGAGGTCAGATCGACACCAGAGGTTGGAATGAGTCTGAAAAGACACAGAGTGTTGCTCAGAGCGTTGTCGGGGGCAGTCATCTGGAAGAAGCGGGAGGGTACACGGATGGGAGAGGACTGATAACATAGGTTCTTCGGGCAAAGAGAACGCAGGGAAGAAATTCGTAGGTAAACAGGCGGCAGCGGCGGGAGAGGTGTTAGGGAGGGGCTGCACTGTCGCGTATGCAATCGGGGATTCTGACTTGAAGCCGCGCGTGCAACTTAGAGTTCTGATTTCTTGGCGCATCAGTGTGGCGCGGGGTGTCCCCCCCGCTTCTGGCCTGTCCTTAAGACCAAGGGTGGGTTGTGTGAAACTGTGTGGCATCCGACAGCCACCATCTCTGCCTCAATTCGCGCCCGACAGACATGCGCTGAGCTGCCGGTAGCCTTCTATTTCCATAACGAATTCTCCTCGGTTGGGGCGGGTAGTCCACGGCTAGAGGATTGGCCTTTTGCCCTATCTTTTGGCGGTTCTTTTTCACCAAGCTCCCCAACCGCTTACTTGGCCCTACTTAACCAGCTCAAGGCAGGCTAGGGGCCAGCCTTGCTTCCGCATGCGTTCCAGCAGCCGGCGCACTAAAGTCGAGTCCCTGAGGCATGCGCTGGGATTCCCATTCTAGGCAATCTGCCCAGTCATCATCCTATTGTGTCGCAGTGGATGGGACAGTATTTATGATCCATCAACTCCAAGCATGCAAATCAGCTATATGCGAGCAACAAGCTCATTGTTTTAGCCTTGCCACCCAGTCCCTCTACGTCTTCCTCGAGATTAAATGAGGAAGAAGCAGAGCAAGAAGAAGAACAACAGAAGACACTTCAAAACCTAAATAATCTGAACTCGCTTGCCATCTAGCAATACCTAAGCATCAGAGCCGAAATATCGCACCGTTACAAAGGAACTAACTTCTAGAGATACGACTGATCGGCTGTTTGGAGCACTTGGCCAGCCACTCCTGGATCCTCGCCACACCCTGCATATCTCCCTGCTTGGTGTCTGCCTTGTTCTCGTCGACCCAAGTGCGGGTAAAGCTACCGCCGAAATCTATGAGCCATAGGTCTCTTTTCTTGCGGTCGACGAGGACGTTGTGCGGCTTGGCGTCACCCCAGACCAAGTCCGCGTCGTGAAGATCTGTGACAAGGGCTTCGATATCGCGGGCCCAGCGGTTCCGATCAGCGTCGTCGCAGTCGGCCCAAGGCGCTGTATCCGCCAGCGTGCCAATATTGTCGATGTACATGATTAGGATGCCGACAAGACGTTTCCCTCCGAGCTCACAATAGTCCGAGTCCGAATCAGCATCCGAACCAGAGTACGGTTCCGGGTCCGGGTATTCTTTCGAGGTGTCGCCTCTGTTCGGGTCGTAACACTGTGCTATCTCATCGTCATCGTCAATGACCACGCCATGCAGCTTGGAGACGCGCAGGCCGGCCGGGAGCTGCTCGTCCGCTGCCAGAACGTCTATTTTCTTGTACATCAGCAGCTCATGGGCCGTCGCGCATTTAGGGCGCGCTTGAGAACTCCACTCCTTGAAGTAACACTCGATCCCCTCAACAAGTACCTTGGTCGGGCCGATAAGGCATGGATGCAGGTCGGCGGGCAGGCCTGGCGCGGGCGGGGCGATCTGAACCTGAAGCGAGGAGTACTGCTTGGGCTCCCAATTGCTTAGCAGCCGACTCGTGAAGGCATCGTGAGGTGGACGCAGGTACTGGCCGAGAGGGTAGTAGTTCCAACCATGACGAGCCTTGAGAAGAGGCTTAGGCATCATGTCGCCGCTTGCAGCCATTGCTTCGAGAGCAAACGTTTGTTTGTATCTCCAGTCTGAGAGGGACAGGTTTGTGGAGGTCGATGATGGCGCCAGCTTAGTCATTAACGACTCAAACGGCTTTATGAGGCTACGACATAACGGCCTGATGTCGGTAGTATTGTCAATGTTGTTGAAGTCGGCCCTGAACTTCTCAAGGGAGTCGAGATGCTGCTCTAGAGCAGTAGGCGAGGCGGAAAGGCTCTTCCTTGAATATGTGATGATGAAGATGGCCCCAAAACAATGAACGTGCAAATTAATATCGTCCAAATCGCCTGGAACTGTGCCGACAGAATGACTTATTAAGTAAAAAATTGGCATGATAACAAGGTATAAAAACCTCAGAAAGTTTTTAGGACGGAATTGTAAAGAACGTAAGGGGCATTCTTGGTTCTTCAATAAGTGATATGTGTCATTCAAAATGAAATTGATAAACTGATTGTCAAATGAAGGATTCGGGATGTGGCTAGATGGCCACTTGGGATCGGGATGATTCGGATCAGGTACCCCAAGAGGGGGTATTTAGATTTACACTGTAGCCAGCCGTCCTAGACCTCTTACAATACGTCGCGTTCTGCCCAGACCCCGATCCGGACCCGTGAACCTGACACTAATGTCGCTTTCCGTCTCGTTTCACCTCTGTCCAACGATGTCGTAGATCCTCCAGTGGTGTGCTGCCGGGGTATGGTAAGCCCCCGCTCATTTCATATGCACAAGAGTACGGGCAACTTGGAACCAACCTCATTCATTGGTTTATGCACTGATTGCACGAGTTGTGATTGCAGCGGCAGGGACCGCCACGGTAGAGAGGCCCATTGCACTGGCAACACCACTGTGGACGAGGGAGGCAGCGTATGCAAGGCTTGTGCTGATTGCATGCCGGGTTAGTGCAATGCTTGCCTCCGGTGTAGGTAGTGTTGCAGTGGTGGCACTGCCACCCTTTGCGGTCAAACGCTCTTCTTTGGCAGTCTTTTTTGCCCTCGCAGTAGCCTGGAGCATATTGCTGCGTTGTAGCAACACTAAGCGCTAAGGGGCAGTACCCCAATTCGCCGGTCATTGGGTCGATTGGTGCATTCTCGCAACGCACATAGTATGCGGTACTATGCTTGCAGTCGATGGTGACTTTGATCTTTTGACACATGATGGCGGAATATGGTTATCTTGAGCAAGAGAATCGCTTTGAAATGCTGCAGGAACGCAAAAGTGGAGTGAGATAGATTATAAAAAAGATAAGGCGCCTACTACAAGTGAACATAAGCGTTTATATGTGCCATCTAGAATTCTACGTGACTCATAATGTTTCATTCTGTCCGTCATTTTATTCAAATCCCATTTCCTCCCAATCGATTTGACAACGAAAAAGCTGCAGGCAATATGCACGTGTGAGCTGTTTGCGTATGTGGCAAGTGCTTGGCGACACCGGTCAGGAAAATGATTCATTGTTTGACTGGTACATATGGTCCACAACTACAAACCATTAAAGCCAACAAGATTATCACAGCTATACCGGTATGGAAAATGCGACGCAATGCACGGCATCGATAATGCGGTGTGACGGGGAGAATTACCGTGCAGCATCTCCACCTGCATATCTATCCATCCATCCATCCATGCGCAGCCTCACTTGCCCCAGTCCCATTTCCGCTCCTTCACCCATCGTGCTGCCAGTCTTGACTCCCACCGCCAGCCGAATTTCTTGGGTAGCCGCATTTCCATTGCTATATGTCTGAGCTGCCTAGAAACCCCGGGGGCACATATTGTGACGGTGTACAGCCGTATCCACCTGGATAGATGGATGCTCTCGGAGCCTGGAAGGGACTTCAGCATGTGGTCAAGTCACCCCCAAAGCTTAGTCAGCGCCGGATCTGGGTGTGCGTGGATAACACAGGAGCGATCTGGGGGCTCCGCGGCAATGCCGCGGTATCCTGCCAGTGGCCTACCTGAAGTTCCACGCCGAGGCTGAAGTCCGTAATGTCAACGTCAAGTGGTGCCCGGGGCACTGCGCTGTTAAGGGCAATGAACTGGCAGACAAGCTGGCTAAGGCCGGCTCGGCGAGTTCTTGGAATCGTAGAGTCCCATTGAGCCCATCTACCACTGACGTGTTGTCTAGGCAGACATATAGCTGTTTTCTGTGTCCAATTGCCCTGGCTGCTGCAAGACCTTGGAGAGCACCATAGACTTCAGCATCTACTACTTCTGCTTATAAAAGTCTACCCTTTCCCCGGTATACTCCTTGAGTAGTGTTGCCTTTCCTGATGGTGTAACCCCATCCAGTGCGGGTTGTACCTTGGTCAACCAATTGTGATCCATCTGAGTAGATGACAAGGTCAGTGTTCATATTTCTCTCTTATAACCATTGCTTAAAGAGCTCTGTTTTTTTTGTCTTTATCTTTACGGACTGGGGGCTTCTTCCATGATGGCCTAGTAAGTATTGGTCTCTGGAAGTCAGGGACTAGCTGGAAGCTCCTTTGTAACCTTGTTGGATCCTTGCGGGCTTGTATTTGGAGCCTGCTAACAAGAGGGTGTCTCTGGTCTATTCGTCCTAGTCGGAGGCCGTGACGTCGTCGTATTGATTCTGCAAGAACTCCAGCTGGGGGAATCTGCGATTCAAAATATAGGATATGCCCAGGGTGTGTTTTCCAGACTGGCAAGATAGCCCTGATCGCCGTTCGTAGTACAGCATCTATTGTCCCAAGAAGCCCCTTAATACGACATGCTGATGTCTCACCTGAACTCCTGATTTTTTTGATTCCTGGGTACCAGGCCTCCAGGCCATGTGTAAGAATAGGAATAACACAAGTTTTCACAGCCTTCTTGGTTGACTTTACTGGAAGTCCTTTGACTGTGTTGCATAGTCCTCGAAGGTGGTTTGCTACCCTACTAGCTTTCTTGGCCCAGTAGGAAACGTGATCTTTGAAGTTCAGTTTTCTATCCAGGAAGACACCCAGCCATCGTATGGAGTTCTTTGCTGTTCTGTTCATTGTCCCGTGGCGGACCGGAGGATTGTCTGAGTTCTTTTTCCGTGAGAAGTGCATGATTTCGGTTTTGTTGGGATCAAACTCAATAGCATTGTCGTGTCCCCATTGGTTGAGCAGATGAAGATTTTCAGAAGCCTCTTTGGCTGTTTCTTTAAGGTCCTTTCCAATACAGAGAGTCGCTAGGTCGTCTGCATATCCAAAGCGTCTTCTTTTCATACTGAGCCGGGCATAGATTGGCTCTGTATACAGCATATAAAGGATTGGAGAAGCTGGTGAGCCTTGTGGTAGCCCACAGGTGAGAGCTTTTATATCGGTCATAATACCTTCAAACCGAACTCTTGCGGACCGTTCAAACATGAATGACTGGACCTATCTTATAAGAAAGTCTGGCCAGCCCTGTTCTCTCATGCGAACCACCAGCCGTCCCATTAGGGCAGCGTCAAAGGCCCCTGTCACATCTGCTGTGACTACTGTTGCAACAAGGCCTTGGTCAAGGGCCTGCTCAAAATCATGTATGAGTGCAGCTATCAAATCGGTGGCAGAGCGCTTTAGTAGAGCTCCAAAATATTATGGAGCTAGAATTCCGAGTTTGATAACAAACCAGGCAATTCTTTTTGTAATGAGTCATTCTAGGCCTTTGCCAAGACATGGCAGTAGCGATATTGGTCTGTAGGCCCTGGGGTTGGAATAGTCTTTCTTGCCTGGCTTTGGGATCATCACTACCTCAGTTATTTTGAATGGTTTAGGGTGGTGTCCAATCTGTAGACAGGTCTGAAAAAGGGCTCTGATATGCTCCCCAATGACTGGCCAGCAAGCTTTCAGAATCCGTACTGTGAGGGTGTCTATTCCCAGGGAGTTGCTCTTGGTCCCTATAGTGCACTCTTCAGCCTCTTCTAGTTCGACATGGTATTTAAGGGGAATGTGTGGCTTGGCTTGTGTGATCTGAGCAGACCAGGGGTCGATGATATCGTTATCTGGGGTACTTCGTTCAAGCGTGGCTAAGCGTAGTACATTTGCCTTGCTCTCTTGTGACTCAAAGATTTGGTCCCCAATAATGATTGGGGGGGAACGCAATCCTGCTGACAGCTTGTGCCAGGAAACAATTCTGTACAGGTCTTTTGGTTCAGTCGCTGAATCAATTAAAGTCTGCCAGTATTCTCTCTTAGCTTTTCAGACCACATAGTGAAATTCTTGTCGGGCTGAATTTCGCCCTTCTTGGCTTATGGTCTGTTTTGAAAGGGTCCTGTATGTCTGAACAGCTGCTTTGCAGTCATCATTCCACCAAGCAGTGGGCCTAGATTGTCGGGGCTTCTTGCCCACTGTCCTGATATAGCCTTGAATCATGTTGATCAAGCTTTGTGTAAAGGTATCCACCTGGCCAGGGGATACACCCAGCTGGGGGAGTTCATGAATCCTGGCTTGGACATTGTCTGCTAGTTCTTGTAGCTTATTGTCCGGTATTATCTACTGATTGGCCTTGGGAACTCGGTCCCGATCTCCCTGAATTGGAGTGACTATTCGTAATGTCTTGTGATCTGAGGTGCACTGAAGTGCATCATTGACTGAGGCTTAAGGCAACACACTCTTACCAAAAACAACTATTTTTCTTGGCGCCCCGCTGTTAGGGCGCAACCTCTATATCTGCACTAAAACAGGCATTTATTTCAGTACCTGACTATCCTTGCCAAGGCGCAGAAAATTTTTCTCACAAGCTGGATGGCACCCCTTCACGATAGGCCCCCAAATACGCCAGTGGCCGTCCCAAAGACGACTACTGGCGGCGTGCTCAAATCCCCGGTCCCTAAAAGAACATATGGCCCGGCAACCCCAAGCAAGCTCCGCCAGGCACTGCTCGACGACATCAACAGCAGCCCGTCACAGGTCTCTGAGGCTGACTTCACCATTGTTTCCCCTCTGAAAGGAAAATCCCGAAATATTAATACTAGCAGCATCATTGATATGGAAGTACCTCAATCAAACGAAATCTCTACAGACCAAGCCATT